ATTATGAACAATCATTAATAATAGATCTGCCTTGAATCCGGCAGTAAGCCGGAAACTATTCATTAAGACATTATTTTGTCCATTCATCGGCAATTTGATATAAATTTTTATTTTAGTAATTCGAATAATTGTAAGTTTTATATTTTACACTACAAAGAGAAAAACTAATTCAATGTTAATATTTTTGTGGAAGAAATAAAAACCCGTTCTTCACTGAGATTTTTTTAACTCAGTAAACGCTTTGATTTTACTACTGAACCACGAACTCCTTATGAAGGTTGTTATGGAGTTAATAAAGTTAATTTAAACTATCAAAATTGAATAAAAATTTAAAAGGCTTTCGAATTATGTGCATTAATTTTTAATTATACTTATATCTGCAGCCATTTACTTTTTTCTTTCCTTAAGAAAGAATCTAAATCTGTAAAAATATGTAAGATATCAAAGGAAATACCTGCGTATTAGAAAATAATTGTGTTGTACTAGAGTGTGTTATTTGTCTTATTTAAGTTGGAAATTTTGCCTTCCAAATTAAATGTTTGAGAACGATATTTGCTACTTTGCATTCTGCACATAGTGGCACAATGGTGTTGAAAAATGTATCTTGTGTTTTATTTTTAAAACATTGTCGGATTGGTCAACAAGGTGCTCTCTCTAAAACATTTAAATAAAAAAAGAATTAGGTAACGTTCTGGTTCAACAAAAAAGTAATAGTATTGATTTTAATTTATGTAATATAATTTTGCGTAAAAATGAAAACGACTTGGACAATATTGACAATTAGTTAAAAACGTTTTCTGTATTTTTGGTGGCGCCATCTCTGCGAGAAGGTCGCAACTTTAGTAACACTTTGCAGTCTCGGATTAAATATATATTATTCATAAATCAATGAAAACTTTTATTGTTTGTGTAAATAAATCAAATCAAATTATGTACTAGTGGTAATTAAATGTGGTAATCAGTCAAAAAAAAAGCAATTTCAACAATTTAAAGAAGAATTCTAAGCGTGAATTGCCATATGTTCCGTTGAGTCTTACAGATGACGCTAGCAGTATCCAATCGAAGATGGAGAGTGCGTTTTCAATTTATGAAACAAGAAACACACCTTTCATTTCTGAATTAACAGGTTTCAAATAAGACCGTGACTTCAAAGGAAAAAAGTAGTTTATTTCACTATTGGTATTAGTTAGAATAATTAAACAATAATAATTAAACGAAAAAATCAAAACAATATTTCAATTTAATAAATTGACAAGTATGCAATTTTTTTTATTTCTTTTTTATTATTTTTTATTTATTCTCTTAACACATTTCAGATCTTGCCATCACAGTGTTACCTACAATTTAGACTACTTACAGCAGGTACATTAGAGATATATGGACTCTAATATACCTAGGACATATTTATAAAGAGCGGATTTATATGCACAATTTTTGCTAGAGAAAGAACAATAAATTACAAACAAAAAATTGGTCAAAAGTTATTTCCACAGGACTTCCCTCGCCTTCGAAGTACAGTGCCACAAATCCCGCTTCTTCGAAAAATGAAAAAAAATTGATTTTGCGAATTTGTATTCAATAAAACAAATACAAGAGTATGCTACTTTATAAAATTTATGATAAACATTTTTGAGATGTCATGACATTGATAGGAAGATCTACATCTACACGATATTCTTAACATATATATGTATAAAATACAATCAGTCCGGTAGTTTTGGAGATCATCTGCCTAATAAAAATCTGAACAGACGGTACACAGACTGGGCGCGAGACCTAATTTTTCATACTCTATGGGCCATGAAATGTCGAGAAAACATAAAAGTAGCCAGTCGCCCCTCGATAGACTCGATTACAATACTTTCTTTGCTTACGCTCAGACAGTAAAAATAAAATCCGCAAAATTAAATTTTATAACTTTTCAAACTGTATTTTATAGAACATGTATTTCCACAACACCGAAAACACAATATATTTGTCGACGCGTTTCGCCAACCACGTTGTCATTATCTATGCATGCTTACAATAACTGCAAAACGTCAAGACTTCAAAGTAGGTATTCAGTATTGCAATTCTTGATTTAATCCATAAAATAAACTGACTCAGTCATTAATTTTTTCAGACACCCCGTACTAGCAAATCTAAAAAATATTAAAGCAGTGATAAATCACAAGTATAGACTCATCATACTTTCCATATTTAATAAGATTTTTTCAGCAAAATTTTGGGGTGGCGTCATCAATATTTTAGGGGGGATGAGCAAATACATTTTGGTCAAAAATTTACCATGCTTATGATAACTTTAAAACATCTCCAAGATTTCAAAGCATTCGGTTTTGTAGTTCCTGATTAAATTGATAAAATAAATTCACGCATTCATCAATTTTTTTGAGTCAGCCTGTATATGCAAATCCAAAAAATATGAATGGAATGATAAGTTACAAGTACAGTCTCATCATATTTTGTACATTTTAGGTAGGATTTATTCGGCAAACTTTTGAGCTGACGTCATCAATCCTTTGGAGAGGATAAGTAAATAAATTTTGATTAAAAATTTTCCTATATGCGTTTCCGAAAACATTTCTTTCGCCAAAATGGAAATCACAAATAAATTTTGTTGCCCTCTGATTTACGGCAACTTTTGAATGGCTATCTAGAAGTACTTTCGATTTTTTTTAACGACAAAGTAAAACATACACAAATATGCATATGTATGCTCAAGCGAACAAAATGTGCAATAATTAATCTACTTCAATTAATTAAAAAAATTGATCGAAAGTTGTTTCGACAGAACTTCCCTCGTTTCTTCAGCAAAACTATCTTTTAAACTGTTTTCGTTTATATAATAGTATTTCTACTAATAATCAGTTCGATATTTTCCATAAAAAGTTCCTGTTGTCAAGAAAGAATTGTTGAAAGTACAATATCGTTAACGTTATTTTAAATTTAAATTTTTGTACTTAGTATCAATGGTTGTATATAAATACAATTATTTTATTGTTGTATTATGTGATTTTGTAATATGTATCCACTATAGACATTTTCATTGTCTTTTGGAAAATAAAATTGTATTTATTATTATTAAAAAAATGAAACATATCCAGCATTTTCGAAAAATTATAAAATTTGATTTTTCGGATTTTTTACTTTTTATGAGAACCCCTATAAGTTGAAATAATCATATGTACTACAGCACGAAAAAGGATTTTTGGTACCCAGCAGCAAGGGGTCATAAGCTCCTCCGCCTTCCCACTGCGGGTCGCCATAATTCCCTAAACACTGAGGTAGAATAAAATGGATGAGGACTAAAGTTTCCTGGTTTGATTACAGAAATTGATTACTCAGTACCTTCTTCACGTAGAATCTCTATTGTAGCATCAGAGTATCACACAATAAAATATTTTCAACTCAGAAAGTACTTTTCTTAAGATAAAAGTGAATTAATAGAGTTTAAACAAGTAACCGCCGTATCCATTGGAATCATTAATTAAAAAAAAAATAATATTTAAATTTATACGTGGATAGATTTTAAATGGGAAATGGTGTTTTTTTATCAGCCCCAAAGTTTACTGAGAAATCGAATAAAATGACGAATATTGACAAAAAAAACAAGACGAAACCTAGGAATGAAATATATAAAAATTATCTTCTATTTATCTGCTATCTATTTCAATTTTGGGACTTTTAAATACTTCGACTTTTAAATTTTTCGATTTTTCGACTTTTCGTTTTCAGTTTTTTGATTTTTCCATAGGTTGATGTTTTGATTGTTCGATGTTTTGAATTTCCAATTTTTGGAAATCTTAGGTTTTTCACTTTTTTGTTGTTTTGATTTCTCAGTCTTTCAATTTTTTGTCTTCTCGTTTTTCGATTTTTCAATTTTTCGGAATTAATTTTTTAATTTTCGATTTAACGGTTTTCTTTCGAAAACGAGCAATGGAGGACGCCGGGGCTCAAAAATTTTAGAATACAGTAATGTTGCCCTCGCCTATATTTAATAATGATTAAAAAAAAATGTCATAATAACATCGACTTACCCAAAATAATATTCAGAACGTTTTGCTACATTGTAGCTTAACCGAGGATGGAAGACAATTTGCTGCCTGCTTAATTGTCGCATTCTTTCGATGTATAAACATAAACAATTGCAGTTAAGCATGTACTAAAAATATATTTTTACTTCAGAGGCAAGGGAAGATCTGTCTAGATAACTGTGAACCAATTTTTTGGGTTTAAAAGAGAAAGTTTTGCAGGCGCCTAGTGCTTTTTTAATATAAAAAGGCCTTCGGGGTTTCGCGTGTATTGTTTTTAAAATAGTTTTAAAAAATCTCGAGATCCGTGCGAATTCTTTATTTGGAAAAAATTTACAGAATTTTAGGCGCTACTAGCGTCATTTTTTTTAATATGTGATGTTTCATTTTTGAGGGAGAAATCAAAATATTGTCAAAATCGAAAAATTGTAAAATCGGAAAATTAAAAAATCGATTAATCGAGAAACTGAGAAATCGAAAAATCCAAAAATTCAAAAACATCGAAAATTGAAAAACTGAAAAATTTAAATACACATAAATCCCAAAACTGAAACGTCGAAAAATTGGAAACTCGAATAATCGAAAAACTGAGAAAGCGATAAATGGAAATCGAAATAGCTAAAGATCGAAAAATGGGAAAATTCACAATTGAAAAATTTGTTGAAGAATCTAAAAACGAGAAGGCAAAAATCGAAAGACTTAGAAATCGAAAAATCAAAAAATGTAAGATTTAAAAAGTCGCAATATTTTGAAAAATCGATTACAATCCTTTACCACCTGTGCTTTGGTATACCCAGAGACAAATAAAACCCAAGCAATGACACCGGGTGTTCGACAACTAATTCCACATGTAACCCAGTATAAGTAAAAAGAGCAGGAATTCAGTCTACCACTAAATAATTCTGTTTAATTACTTCATTCATGAAATAAAAATGAGTACATACTTTAGTGATGAAACAAAACAATTACTTATATAAAACACATAAATTTATTTTAATTCTGAATAGCATATAACTTAGTTTCAAGAGTAACAATTTTTTTATGAGTATCACCGATCGGAAGACAATTGAGAAGTGTATAATACTGTTTCGCACTTTTAATATCAAGTTTAGTCACAAAAAACTTTCTGAAAGAATTTCGAGCCATTTCTACCAGTTTTGGTACACGTGGATAATTTTCTAATCTTGTTAGATCTTTTTCCAGGAGTCTTGTTGACAGGAAGTCACGCAGTTTGGGATGCACAAAATAATTCGTTAGTTCTATAACAGAATCCGCTAAATATTTCGACAGAGGAAGTGCATCTAAGGTCAAATTAACGTCACAAATGTACGACGCCATCGCACTTAAAAAAGTTGCACCAGTTACATCAGGTTCAGGATCCAAGTACAAGAGAATTTTGAATAATTCGCAGTATCCATATTTTCGAAAAATCTCGTCTTGTAGTACAGTTGTGACCCTTAGGCCAGTTGTGAGTAGATAGGCGAATATTTTAGTAACGTCTTCTTCGTTTTTATCTTCAGGACACCAATAAAACACCTGATAACAGTCTAAACTGTTGATGAAATCGGTGACACAATTATTCAAAGCGGCTGAACTTTGGAGGAGTAAATTCAGTTTTGTTAAAATGTGGTCTGTGTAGAGAATGCTTTCCAAAGCTGGTGGGCGTTTTCTTGAGAAAAAATCACGAGAAATGGGTTCAGATATAGAAATATGGAGAAGATAATTCTTTACAATTCCACAACATATAAGATCATACTTTTCTAAAATAATTTTTAAATAGGCGGTTTCTAGTAGTAACAAGTCGTTGAGATTTTCCGAAAAAGGCGTTTGAATGTTTTCGTCCAGAAAGAATTCAACTTCATATGTCAATAGTTGATGAAAAAGTGGCGATTTTAGTTTGGCTAGTTGTAACAACACACTGAAATGTAGTTTGTACTTTGAGCGACTATCAAAAATGTATTCAAATAACATTTCTTGGACGAAATCGGTGTGTTTATACTTTACGGCTAGTTCAAAGGAGTTATATCCATTGAAAGCTTCAACTGAAGCATCAGCACCATGACACAACAACGTAGTAATCAATTCTTCACTATTGATATCCGGATTTGCCATCAATGACATGTGAAGCGGAGTACAATTTCCTTTGTCTTGTCCATTAACATCAAGCCCTTTATCCAATAAGAATTTCGTAGCATGGACATACCCTTTTCCAGCAGTTTTGCCCAAAAGAGTCTCACCATCAACAACAGACGAATATTTTTTCAACAGTTCGAGAACATAGTTCTCAGGGACGGAGTTCTGAGAATTCAACACGTGGTCTAAAGCACCAAGAGTCCCCACATCGTCTGTACCGTGGGACCTGAGCAAAAATTGAAATATTTGGCAACTGGAAAGTAAGTTATTGGTTAAAGTAATAAAGGAAAAGTTTCACATACAAACCGTTTATTTCGAATGGACTCTTCAAATAGCATGCAAATGTAATTGTTTTCTCCTAGAAAAAAACCTTTTCGTAAACTTGAAAAGTATTTTCTGAAATTGCCAGAATCGTTGCTGTCAATGGCATCCATCAGAATATCCATTGCTTGATGTTCCACTTGTCTTCTAACTAGATAATTACCATAAAATACCATTTTAAAGAGCGGCGTACGAAATAATTACTAAAATGGTCAAATATACAACAAAACTTTGACATGTACGGAGATAAGATATTTATTAATTGCGCTATCACTAGTATCATATTTTATCTTCTATAATTGTAAACAAAGAGTTGATAAGATTAATTGTTAGTCACTCAATTTTATTTTCTACCATAAGATGAACTACATTATCACTAGTATCATATCTTCTTTGTTTCGATAATAATCTAGGTATACTTTGCAAAAGATGGGACAATAATTGTAAACAAAGAGTTGATAAGATTAATTATTATTAGTCATACAACTAATTTTCTACCATAACATGAACTACATTTACTGTTTATTTAAATTTAATAATCATATAATTTTATTTCCAAACTAATAATTTTCTTGTGCATATCACTGATGGGTAGATGGTTGAGAAGAGTATAAAATTGTCTAGTACTTTTAATATGAAGTTTAGTAACAAAATACTTTCTGAAAGAATTTCGGGCAATTTCGACCAAACTTGGTACGCGTGGATAAATTTCTGTTATTAGCAGTGTTTCATCCGGTAGCCTTTTTGAAACAATTTCAAGCAGTTTGGGATCAACAGAATAATTTACTAATGCTAACAAAGACTTTGCCCCATATTTAGTGTGATAAAATGCATCTAAAGTTAAATTAATTTCGGAAATATAGGATACCAATGCATTTTTTCTATTCAGATATGCTTCTTTATGAGGTTCGACATCCATATGTAAGAGAAGCTTGAATAGTTGGCAATACCCATATTTTTGAAACACACTCTCTAAAAATTCTTGATTTGCTCTTAAACCGTGTATGAGTAGATAAGCAAATATTTCAGTAACTTCTGCTTCAGTTTTATTTTCAGGGCAACAAGTAAAAACTCTGCAGCTGTCTAAGCTATCAATAAAATCGGTAACAGATTGATTCAAGTCTGCACTACCTTGAAGAAGCAAATCCAAAGTTGACAGAATCCACTCCGAGTATAAACTTTTTTCGATGTCTAAAATATGACGAGGTTTGTAAAGAACGTACTTCTCAAAAATTTCGCAACAGAGATAGCCACACTTTTCTAAAATAATTTTTAAATAGTCGGTTTCAATTAGAAGCAACTGTTTAAGATTTTCCACATAGGCCATTCGAGTGTCTTCTTCCAGTAAGAATTCTGTATCATGATTTATGAGTTTGTGAAAAAATGGCGATTTTAGTTTGGCCAGTTGTAGAAGCACACTGAAGTACAGTTCAAGTTTTGAATGACTGTCAATGGTAAACTCCAGTAGCATCTCTTGGACAAACTCTGCATGTTTGTGGATTACCGCTAGTTCAAAGCAACTGTATCCAGTATTAGCGTTAACCGAAGGATCAGCACCATAACATAGTAAGATAGTAATTAGTTCCTCACTCTTGGTATCCGGATTTGTCATCAATGCCTTATGGAGTGGGGTACAACCATCGATTTGTTGTGCGTTGACGTCAAATTCTTTGTCTAGGAAAAGTTTCATGGCTTGAATGTACTTCACTCCAGCAGTTTTGACCAAAAAATTGTCACGATCCTTAACACAACAATACTTATTTAACAATTCGCGAACATAACGCTCTGGTACAGAGTTTGGATAATTCAACACGTGTTCTAAAGCAGCAAGAGTTCCTAGGTCGTTTCTGCCACAAGATTCATTCAAAATATCAAATATTTCTTTCCTACAAGTAAATTATATATTATTATTATTAATATGGTACGTTTAAGATGCTTACCGGTTATTTCTCATGCACCTTTCAAATAAAGAAAACATACCGTCGTGATTTTCCAGAAAAAAATATTTTGACAATTTGCGAAACTGAATTTCAAATTCGAGAATTCGGTTCTTTTCAATTAAGTTCGGTAAAATTTCCATTATACGACGATCGAAAATTCTTTGCGTATGATGAAAGCCACATTTCATGGTCAATGCACAAATATGTAGAATAACGCATGAAAAATAAAAATGAACAAATAGAAGCAGATAGTGAATAGTAGGTGGCATTTCAGAGATAAATTATTTGTTATCACTGTATCCCTCAAATGACCAAATAGTATAGGATTACAAAAAAATAGATATAATGATACATGTTATAAACTGCAGCAGTCTTTGTTTTATGAAATATTTAGTAGTGTCCATGTATTTTTTACTTACTTTACTTTCTTATTTCTCTATGAAAAAGTTTTTTTTTTCACTAGCAACCCTGAAGCATGCAAATGTCGACTTATTTAGAGGTAGCAAAGTTCAACTTTTGCGACCAAGGTTCAAAAAGAAGATTGAGGTTATGTACGAAATACTTGATGCGTTTATTTCTTAAAAAATGAAAAAATGTGTACTACTATAACATTACTAGAGTATACACACGGTATTAGCCACATTTTTTCTGTTGTATATTCTATGTCGTTTTCTTCTAATTCGTTTTCTATCAATGTGGATACCAGTCTTTGATAATTGAGCTTCGTGATCTCCTCCATTATCTTCTGATTGATTTTCTTTTCTTTTTTTTCGTTTTGTTGTCAATACGTTGTCATCAGTTCTTAATTTTGCATTAATCAAGAAATGATCTGTTGAAAGTTCTACATTTACATGTTTTATTAATTTTTTATGTTGCCTTTCTATTAGGATCTCATTTCTTCTTATCATCTCTCATTTTTGTTTGTCTTTATGTTCGAAGAGCTAATTTGCTATTATCAGGTTATCGTTTATAGCAAAATTCTATAATCCTGGTGCTGTTTCCTTTCCTTCGGTTGTATTTCCTATTCGTCCGTCTAAGTCTCCCATTGCGACAACAGGAAATTTTGTGCGGTCAAATATCTCCTGGACCGTTTCTCAGAAGTTATCTTTTTCTTGTTTCATTTTCGTTAGGGCCGTACAAAATTAATACACTTAACGCTGATAAGCCTTCCCACTCAATAAACTTTTGTCTAAGTTCTTTCTTCCCCACTTCTTTCTTTTTTGTTTCTGTTAACGCTATAAACACTGTGTTTGCTTTTTTGGATTCTTTCACCAATTCTAGTTCTTTTTCATTTAGTATCTTAATGTTCCACGTACCAGTTTTCACATTGTTTGTCTTATTCTTACCCTTAGTACCTATTTCCATATTCTTTGCTTTTATTTTATTGTTAATCAATGGTTTGGATCCTTCGGAACTGATATTCCTGTTTTTCCGCCCCACAACCAAACCTTTCCGTTTTCCGTCAAGTTCTGATATCCTATTTTTACCACTTTTCTTTTGTTTTTTGCCGTTTTTCTGAGTCTTGCTTGTATTTTGCCCTCTTCTTTAGTCATATTGTCTTCGATGTATTTCTTATTAGTGTCTTTCAGCTGGGATTTTGCTTCACCAATATTACCTTTTGCTCTCGTTTCATCTTGATCTCAGCAGTTTCTATTATATTCGTCTTGACTTTTATCTCGTCAGTGTTTCTGACTGCTACGCCTCCCTTGAGGTTTTGCTCTCCGAAAATTACTCCCTTTATTACAATATTACGTCTTCTATCCATACTTTCCATTTTCATTAGTCTACTTTCCATTTGCTCAAGCCTGTCAACTGTTCTTTCATTTTCTCTTTTTAAATGTTTTATTTCTTCTTTCTTCTTTCTATTCTTCTTGTTCCTTCCTTATGAGTTTAACTTCTTTAAGGTCGATTTATAAACTTGTCGCTGACGTTGCTGTATTGTAAGATAAATACGCAGCGAAGGTATGCGTCGTTTATACCATCCGTTGACGTTGCCGTTGAAAGTTAGCACCCCGTTGGAATGACGTTCGAGATAACCAAGTTTTAACGTTCACCGTTACGTTGCCGTTGGGTTTTCAAGCAATCAAATTGCGGTAGTGTGCAGTGCTGCCAACTTGAAGGAAAATCCCCTGAACTAGGGGGGGCATTCCTCTGGTTGAGAGCCACGAAGATCAAATTTTGATAGAGATAATGAGGTGCACTAATATTAAGCTATTTATTTACCGAAACCCTCATCATTTAAATACCCAGGCGCGGATCCAGAGCCCCCCCCCCCCTCAGTACAACCTCTATAAGCCGAATTCACGATTATCCGAACATCCAGTAATCTGAACAGAGGCTATTTGAAGGCGATGCGTCTTTAATCCGAACAAAAACTCTGCAATCTGAACTGAACTTGGAAACACGCACCTACTTGCAAAAATGACGCAAGATCTTTCTACATATGTTGTATGGAATATTTTGAAATTTTTAAAAATTGCGATATTTCAATGCACTGAAATAATTAACTAATTCTAGAAAAAAGGTTGAAGTTATCGAAGAAATGGGGCCCGAAATCTACAAGAAAAAGTATTTAGTTAAATTTCGAAAATCGTCGAAAATGGGTCGAAATTTGCATGAGGAAAATTTCATTTTTGAAAAAGTTTCTTAAAAATCCTGAAAAAATTCAGGGATATATGTATATCCCGACATGCTGATTCCAAAAATATAGCATTTAATGTCAACCGAGCAATATTTTCGGAAAATTCGGTGTGAAATTCGGATTTTTCGAAATTTTTAAAAATTGCGATATTTCAACTGGACGAATCTGGAAAAATGGCTTAAGTTATGGAAGAAATGAAGCCAGAAGTGACTTTTGAGGCCCAAAATCTACAAGAAAATGTATTTAGTTAAATTTCGAAAATCGTCGAGAATGGGTCGAAATTTGCATAATGGAGGTAATACATAATGGAAAATTTCATTTTAAAAAAATTTATCTAAAAATTCTGAAAAAATTCAGGGTATAGATCCCGACGTGTTGCTTAAGAATTTTTTAATTTTGTTTAATAAAATTAGGGTTTATTTCTTGAAGTTTGTTTTCAACTGTGTATGAAGTTGTTATTCAATTCCCTTTCAGATTTTTGGGAAAATCGTTAATCCGAACACATCTTTTTCCCAATTAATTCGGATTATCGAGGCTCTACTGTACACTATACGTGTAACGAAAACAACCAAATGTCACCCATGTTAGATGAAAAAGAGTATACTTGCTAAAAGTTTATAGGAGTACATTTTTTGTTTAGAACGAATTTCTGGGAGATAGGTAAAATCGCATAAAAATTACCCCCCCCCCTGTAAATACCTGCCATCATTTTCTAGACTGTAACTTTCTGCCAGTACTTATGCTTTGTTAAAGATAGTTCTCGACGTTTAAATCAACTAGATTTTTTGCTATTCATCTCAAAAACAGATCAGGTGTTATAACTACAAGGGCTTACATCTTGCGCTTTTTTCTTAATGTGTGTCGTATAATCTTCTTTTCACAACAACAAAGGTAAAACATGTTTAAAATGGTGAATTTGTGAAAGAAAGTAGCAATTTTGCAATTAGGCTCCGCCCCTCGGTCTGACGACGAATGAAAAATTCATCACAATTGAGCTTGGGATGGATATGGGGGCTTAATTTTTGGCTTGTTTTTTTCTTAATATCTATACATAGTATTTTTTGAACAACACGATAGGTACTCAAAAACATGTTTTATATTTCTTGATGAGAAATACGGAGTTTGCAATTAAGCTCCGTCCCCTTGGCTCACGACGAATAAAAAAAAAATAATCACAATTGAGATAGGGCGGGTGGGCGGGGCTACATTTGGCCTTTTTTTTGTAGACTTGTTTCGAAAATAAGAAACTTAAATCATATCTAAAATGGTAAACTTTTGTAGTAATCAACTTAAATCCTCCACTTTTCTTCTACAACCCCTTTAAATACAGCAAAAATTGAACATCAAAGTTACTATTAACGGCAAGTTGGCAACGGAGTTCATAAATGACAATTTTCAGCTCTAAACGCAACGTCAGCGAGAACAGCAACTGCAACTGGAACTTCAACATCAACAGCAACTTTATAAATTCCACTTTAGGAATTCATTTTGTACCTCACTTTTTGGTTTATTTTCTCAGTACCTTCCGTTGTGGTCTCTTCTTCCTTCTTTATTGCTTTCAAGGTCTCCTTTGGTGGGGTCTTTGTTGCTTTTTTGCTTTTTTATAGTCTTTGGTTTTGGCGTCGTTCCCTCTTTTCCTCCTTCCTTCGACTCTTAGCAATTAGTCTCTATCTTTGTCTGTATAGGAAGTTTTTCCTATTACCTCTATATATCCTGCTCTTTGTCTGGACTTTGTGTTAGTTGCCAAGCGTAAAGAATTCCCGCCATATCGACCGTTAGGACCAGAAAAACTCTTATCTCGTCCTTATCTGCTAACCTTAATTATTTTTTATGTATTTTTTCTTTCCATTTCGATTAAAGCCTTTTTCACCAGACTCGCACTATCACTAGTTTGTTGCCCTAATTCCACTCTCGCATTCTACCGAATAGATTTGTGCAAAATCTTCTACAATACGCCAACTATTTGGAATAACTGTAGAGCGATGTACGTACGTCAGAACACTTTTCAAAAGTCAGTTGTTTTTTTAGAACCACCAGTTTCATGGAATAGTTTTCTTCCATATTTTATACCTTCCTGTTAAATAACAAAATAATGTCTTCCAGGCCTGACACCTTATTCATTGCCAAAATTCTCAAGTCGATAGGTTACAAAGAAAGGGAAGTAAACGGTCGCAAAATTTTATGTGAATGAAAACCTCTTCTTGCAGGAAAAAATACTTTTTTGAGAAAATTCCTCCAATTTCAAAATACTTCTGAGCATTTAACATTCGTGCACCTCGACGAAACTTGGATTTAGCAAAATGGTTCACTACCACTTCGTCGTTTAGTGCACGAATCAGATTTAGAAAGTAATCCCACCATTAAAAATCAAGAATCAAGATTTACAATTCTACATCTAAATCTAAAATAATGGAGGGGACACTTTTTCAAAATTGAATGGTTCTTCCTGCTTTGACTAAGTTCAATAAAAAATATATGGTGGTTCAGTGCAGTTGGACAAGCCACCAATATTTTCTAGTAAAAGAAGTCAAATGCACGAATGGCTGCTTAATTTTCTCCGATAATTCTAAATCACACGATTACGAAAACTTTTAGCAATTAAGGAATGAATTTTTGATTCCATAATGCTGTTAAATTTCTATAGACAAGTGTGAGTTGTGCAAAATTCTGCATTGGCCAACCAACTTGTATGTAATAGAGTAAAAAAAAAACAAATAATACTCGTATTATTTATTTTGTATTTAATAATTATATAACTTTGTTTCGAGACTAACAATTTTTTTGTAAACAACACTAATTGGGAGTTTGCTAACAAGAGTATAAAATTGTTTCGCACTTTTAACATTAAATTTAGTAATGAAATACTTTCTAAACGAATTTCGAGCAATTTCCACTAAACTTGGCAACTGAGGATAATTTTCCATTGTGGCTAAGTTGTTTTTCGCTACCTTTTTCCAAAGAACTTCACGCACTTTGGGGTGTACAAAATAATTAGTTAGTTCCAACAAAGAGTGCACTGTATACTTCTCGGGAGAAAATGTGTCTAAAGTAAAATTAATATCACAGATGTAACTAACGCATTTTGAAAATTTTGACCACCAGGTTCCACATCCATGTACAAGACAAGCTTAAATAATTCACAATAACCGTATGATCCATAGACAACTTCAAAAAGAATTTTTCTTACACTTAGACCATATGTGAGTAGGTAGGCGACGATTTCTGTAATTTCTGCTTCACTTTTACTTCCATGGCAATAACGAAAAATCAACAAACTGTTTAAAGTGTTAATAAAATCGACAACACTTTTTTTCAGTGTATCTGTACCTTGAAGGAGAAAGTCAAACTTTGTTAAAATCTGGTCCATGCAGAAAACTGTTGCAATATCGGGTACATTTTTTGTTAAAAACGAACAATAATGGATACGTTGAACCGCGGAATAATACAAAACGTGATACTCAAAAATTTCACAACATAGTTTTTCATAGTTTTGTAAAATTATTTTGAAATATTCAATGTCTAGTAGAAGCAGATATCTGACTGTTTGAAAGTCTGCATCCAGTGCAAATTCAATATTGTATTTTAGTAGTTGATGAAAAAGTGGCGATTCTAATTTGGCCAGTTGTAACAATATACTAGCATGTAGTTTATAGTGTCCGTGATTGTCAAATATAGCGTCAAATAACATTTCTTGGACAAAATATGGCTGGTTGTGCTGCACCGCTAGTTCAAAACAGTTATATCCTCTTTCAGTTTCAGCAGAAGCATCAGCACCATAAAACAACAAAGTAATAATTAACTCTTCGGTGTTAATATCCGGTTCTAACACTAAGACCCTTTGGAGCGAGGTACAACCACTCATTGTTTGTGCATTAACGTCATGCCCTATCTCCAGGAAAAACTTCGTAGCTTCAACACACTTTTCTCTACTTGATATGACCAAAATCTTTTCGTCATTCCTAACAGACGAATATTTTTTTAACAGTTCGTTAACATAATAATCAGGCACAGAGTTCTGATCATTCAAAACGTAATTTAAAGCCGTAATCGTTCCGACATCGTCTTTACCATGAAATGCGAGCAAAAAATCAAATATTTCTTTCCTAGAAAATAAGTTACAAGCTGAAGTGATAATATATAAAACGTTAATATTCTCACCGATTTTTGTTCATAGATTCTTCGTACAAGATAAAAATATCGTTGGAATCTCTAACCACAAACTTTTTGGGCAACTTTAAAAAAATGTCTTTAAAATTGTCGATGTCGTTGTTTTTAATAGCATTCGTCAAAGGTTCCATAACTTGTCTCATCTTTTAGCTGGGGAGTATCGCTTATCTAGTACCACATGAAACACAAAATTGTACATATAAGATTTTAAAATAGCCAGAGATAAAATAATTAATATAATTTATTCCCACAACACCGAAAACACACAAAATATTTGTCGACGCATTTCACCAACTACGTTGGCATTATTAGACAAATATTTTGTGTATTGTGGGGACAAACGTTATATTATTACAGCGCAACGAGTGATCAAAAAGATTCCAGAGATAAGATTATTAATTACTCTAAAGCCATATAATCAACGTTTGATCTCTAACTGGTTGATATATACCTACATATCTACAGGGTGATTTCGAAATGTATACACTGCTAGCGTCTTTGACAATCGTGAATCTTTCCAATTCAGAGCGTGTCGACGTGGTAATGCTTTATGGTGTGGCTGATGAAAACCCCAGAACTCAAGAAATGTGACTAAATAAAACAGAAACACAATAATAATATGTTTAATTTTAACATTAAACACCATACAACTTGGTTTCAAAGCTAATAATTTTCTTGTAAGTAGCACTGATCGGAAGGCGATTAAGTAAAGTATAAAACTGTTTCGTTGTTTTAATACCAAGCTTAGTCACAAAGTACTTTCTAAAAGTATTTCGTGCAATTTCCACTAAACTCGGTATAGCTGGATAATTTCCCGGCACTGTTAATTTTTTTCTCGAACGAAATTCAGTCAATTTAGGATGGACAAAATAGTTCGTTAGTTCTAGGACAGAATCCACCTCGTAGTCATTGAGAGAAAGTGTATCTACGGTCGAATTAACCTCACAAATACAAAAGACCAGGGCGTTCTCAAGAAATACCCCATCTTCAATATCCACACACAAAAGAAGCTTGAATAGTTCGCAGTATCCATATTTCTGAAAGACAACGTCAAAAAGTGGTGTTCTGACTCTAAGACCACACGTGAGTAACAAAGCCAATGTTTCTGTAACCTCGTTTTCAGTGATATTATTAGAGATGTCACAAAAAACTTTGTAACTGTTTAATGTCTTAATAAAATCGATAACACATTTATTCAGAGTTGCTGGACCTTGAAGGAGTAATTTAAACTTCGTCAAAACTTGTCCTGGACAAACACATATTTGAACATAGAAGTATTTTCGCCTTCCAGCGGAATCAGATAGAAAATAAAGACCAAAATTGGATTGACAAAAAACGTACTTCTCGAAAATTTGACAACATATGGAACTATACTTTTCCAAAATTATTTTAAAATAGTCAAGTTCCAGTACAAGCAAGTTATTGACATTTTCAGCAAAATGTGTACGAATGTATTCATCCAGGAAAGGTTCAACATCATAGTTTATTAGTCGATGACAAAGTGGCGATTTCATTTTGGCCAGGTGTAACAACACGCTGACATGTAGCTTATAGCGTGAGTGATTATTATCAAATGTAAGGTCAAATAAAGCTTCTTGGACTAAATCTGTGTGTTCATTCCTCACCGCTAGTTCAAAGCAATTATACTCAGTACGGGATTCAGTCGAAGGTTTAGCACCATAAGATAATAAAATCATAACTAACTCTTCACTATTGTGGTCCGGCTTTGTCACTAATACTCTGTAAAGTGGTGTAAAACCGTTTCTTTCCTCTACATTAACATCAACTCCTTTATCCAACAAAAATTTCGTGACATGAATATACTTTTCTCTAGCAGTTATGACTAGCAGATTTTCATCATTCGTAACAGAAGAATATTTGTTTAGCAGTTCGTTAGCATAATAATCAGGCACAGAGTTCTGACCATTCAACACGTATTCCAAAGCAGCAAGGGTCCCTACATCAGGTTTAGTAAGAAAAGTGAGCAAGAAGTCAAATATTTCTTTCCTGCAAAATAAGTGGTTACATGTAGAAGTTATAAACTAAAATCCCTATATGTATATTCACCGTTTTTTTCTCATAGACTCCACATACAAAGTAAAGCTATGTTTCTTACGTCCTCCAAAAAAGCTTGGGTATAAAGTTGAAACGACTTTTCTAAAATTGTTGACATCGTTATTTTCAATAGCATTCGTTAAAGTTTTCACAGTCTGTAGTTCCGTGTATTCTTGCCATGCGGAAGTACCACATGCCATTTTGAACTCGGGCTGTTAATATGTGAAACCAAAAGTTGAACAAACGTATGACAATAAATGGAAAATGACACAGAGATAAGGTGATTTGTTGATCTCACTAAAACCTATATGATATTTTATCTTAAATTGGATAATCTAGGTGTTTGTTGTATTTTTGTAGAATTAAAGTTGTAAAAACAAATATACATCCAAAAAATATTTTTAATTTCGTTTCCTCTACATTCACTTCTAAGTTGTTCGTGTCCATATATCTTTCCAATTTACTCATTATTTCATTCATTCCTTTTTTGTCTATTCTTTGATTAGTAGGTTGCCAGCATGCGCCAGACACCACACTTTTTCTCGTTCCACTACAAACACCCCTATTGTGTTTTTGTGAACATTTCCTCAATATTTCCTACAAAAGCCACGAATAGACTGGGGCTCATTGGGGATCCCTGTCTTGTTCCCTATATGTATAAAAAACTTCACTCTCAGTTTTATTATTCTATATTATTGCTTCCCGTTTCTTCTATCTTCTATACTACATGTTCACTTATTTCTTTCTCTCTTAATTGTTGCTAAATTCTCTCCCTATCCAACCTGTCAAACGCTGCCTTCAGGTGAACTAATATTGTATACATCCTACCATCGTTGTGATAACCCAAACTTCCCGCCTTAAATTGACAACTGAAAAAGTTTGAAAGACCCGCAAAAAATTCGAAATTTGGCCTTGGCTGTAATCGTCTGACAAAATGGAACCTACGTTGTCACGTCATCCCGACTGCTCCCCTGACTTCTTTCCTATACCTGCATTTTTTGTGCAGATGGCGCGGCCACTAGCTCGACAAGGGACCGCGCACTCCGCTTCCGCTACGTGTTTCTGTTATTTAATCTTAATTCCATTTAAATGTTCAATTTCTATAACTCCGACATTAAACTACAACTGAACAAGTGTTAAAGTTTCAAAAACAGCAATAAACAACATTTAAATTCACCATACACTCTCGTGAAATTTTTAAACAGCAAAGAATTCTTATCTGATATTAAAATTGGACATCAGACAATTTTATGATGGAAGCATTAATCAAGCATTCATCAATGAAGTAAAACTTGTGCAGACATAAAAAAATTACGTGAAGTTAAAATTGTGAGGTAAAGAAAATTGTATGAGGTGAAATTTGCAAAGCTTACAAAATTACATGAGTTTAATATTTTATGTCCAATCGAGTTATTGGTTCATTTTTAAATGTGAAGTTATTCGGCTGCATTGTGGGCAATCGTTCTACATTCCTCCAAACAAACACATAAACTAACACATAGCAAACAATCCGGGGGTCCAACATGGCGTCGGACCAATGCGTCGTTCCAACAAAAGATGCGTCAAAATTATGTCTCCCAGAAATGCGATCATTCCTGTGGCGTAATGCAAATAATGGTCTAAGTCAAAGGAATAAAATGCACGTCCCACATGACCCACAATGTTGTTAATTTGTTCAACGAGACTTTACAGTTCAAACATGTGCTCGATTTGAAAATAACCTTGCAACATGCCCGCTGTCAGAACAAAGAATTTACCTGACGTTAAATTATGCCACACTTTATCAACGATTCAAACAAAGAATTTACATTATGTTAAATGATGCCTTGATCCAAGTATTTAGTTACTTAAAACAATTAGCTTTGAGAGTTTAGATCGTGAACTGATCCCAAACAAAACACATGATAATAACGATGATAACTGTCTAAAGGGAAACATGGTAAATGATGGGATTCTGACGTATCCCCCTTTCAGAAAGTTTTTAATTTTTGCTAGTCCTCCTTACCTATCATTCCATTCCACTGTTGCTTCACATGGTCCCACGTATGTCCACTTTCCTTCTTCAACACCTTATTTATTTCCATTCAGAATATCCAATTCTTTTTCTTCTAATAATTGTCTTAGTGTTTTCCTCTCTTAATTTTTTTTCTTGCCTTTGGTTTGTCATTTTGATTCTTGTTGTTCATCAAGTGTTATTCTTTTGCCTCTTTCTCCTTTTCTTTTACATAAAAATGGAGATATTACATTTTGAGAATGTATTGAAAATCATATACGACAGACGTATAATTTCTATTAATAATAATCGGTAATTTTGGAAATTTTTAATTTCAACAATAATAAGAAAATTGTTCTGCGTTTTCGGCCTACGATTTGAGTAACAATAAAACCAATCTTCAAATAAACTCAAGTGATTTCCCTAAATAGTCCTATATTGGAGAGGAAATAAAACAAATACGTGAATCATGTCTTTTATTTTTAGTTTAATAATTATCATATAACTTGGTTTCAAGGCTAATAATTTTTTTATGGTCAACAGAGATCGGAAGGCTGTTAAGCAAGGTATAGAACTGTTGCGTGCTTCTTATGTCAAGTTTAGTTACAAAATACTCTCTAAATGTATTTCGAGCAAGCTCGACTAAACTTGGCATATGTGGATAATTTTCTTTTATTGCCAATTTTTTGCTCGGCACTTCTCGTGAACGATATTTATCCAGTTTAGGATGAACAAAGTAGTTCATTAGTTCAAACACAGAATCTACCGTGTATTTTCCCAGAGAAAGTGTATCTAAGGTCGAATTAATCTCACAAATATAAAAGACCAATGCGCTCGGATGAATTACTCCATAGTCCTTACGTTCATAATCCAAGAACAAAAGAAGCTTGAATAGTTCGCAGTATCCATATTCTTCAAACACACGGTCAAAAAGGCTTGATTTTATTCTCAGACCATAAATGAATAAATAAACAAATATTTCTGTAACTTCTGTTTGATTGCTACTTTCAGAAAGGTAAGAAAAAACTGTGTAACTGTCTAACGTGCTTATAAAATCGATAACATTTTTATTCAAAGATGCTGGACCGTGAAGGAGTAAGTTCAATTTCATTACAGTTTGTTCCCCACATAAACATCTTTCAATATCTGGTAAGCGCTTTCTTAAGAAATATTTACGAAATCTAGGTTCAGACTTGAAGTAATCAAGGATGTGATTCTCAAAAATTTGGCAACATATGGAATTATACTCTTCGAAAATGATTTTAAAATAGTCAAATTCCAGTTGAAGCAAGTCACTCAGATTTTCCGAAAATGGTGTACGAGTGTTGTCATCCAGGAAAAATTCGACGTGATGTTTTAACAGTTGATGAAAAAGTGGCGATTTTAGTTTACCCAGTTGTAATAGTACACTAATATGCAGTTTATGGTGTAAGTGATAATCAAATGTAAAATCAAATAACATTTCTCGGACAAAATCTGTGTGTTTATTCCTCACTGCTAGTTCGAAGCAGTTGTATCCATTATAAGCTTCAACCGAAGGATCAGCACCATAACATAATAAAGTGGTAATTAATTCTTCATTTCTATTATCCGGATCTATCATTAATGCCCTATGAAGTGGAGTCCAATCCCCGAATTGTGCATTAGCGTCAAGTCCTTTGTCCAGCAAGAGCTTCGTGGCTTGGGGACACTTTACTGTAGCAGCTGTGAATAGCAGATTTTCATCATTGGTAACAGAAGAATATTTCTTTAACAATTCGTTAACAAAATAATCAGGCACAGAGTTCTGATTCTTCAGCACGTGTTCTAAAGCAGCAATGGTCCCTTCATCGTCTCTAGCATGAAACGAAAGCAAAAAGTCAAATATTTTTTTCCTACAAAATAAGTTCCTTTCCGAAGTAATATACTAAAACCTTTATATGTATACGCACCGTTTTCTTTTCATAGATTCTGCATACAAGGTAAAGCTATAGTCGTTACTTCCACTAAAAAAACTTCTACCCAAATTTATAACGATTTTTGTAAAATTTTTGATATCGTTGTTTTCAATAGCATTCGTCAAAATGCCCATAGATTGAAGGTCCTTATACCTTCGCATTGAGCAGGTACCACACTGCATTTTGAACACACACGTACACTTAATAACACAAGAATTCTAAAAATGAAGATATATATGACAATAGAGATATGATATTTATTAATCGCACTAATCAATATCATATCTTATCTTCGTTTGGGTAATTTACGTTTTATAACATGTGTTCACCCTATGGATCTGTATTGTAACTTGATTTGTGTACAAAAAAATTAAAGAGTTTCCAAAAATTTTCAATATCGTCTTTTTCAGCAGCACTGGTCAAAATTTTTGTAGTTCGGAACTGTCACTGCCGGCAGGCTAACACCAACACCTGAAAAGGAAAAGTTGATCTACAGCTATTTTTTTTTCGTGTTATTTTCATAATCATTGTCAAAATGTAAATAATTTTGATTTTTCTTTTAGGACATTCGCATTAAAATCCCAACTCAAAATCGTCGGTTGCTGATGTAAGTATCAACTGAGCTGCTGTTATAGAAATGAGTAAATTTTCCTGGATGAGTTTGATAATTTTATTTACACTTTGATTAGATGAGATATAAATGGAAAACATGATAGTTTGTTCATTTTCGGTTTCACATTTTGACACAAACATTTCTCCAATAGATGATTTGTTAAAGCCATATGAAAATGATCCACTCATAAAGAATGATGTTAGTGTTTAATTACCTCTACCTAATAAAATCGCTAACAAACACAACATAAATGGTTTCTATTGCGATTCATATTTATTATTGTATTTGTGATGTTCTGATTAAAAAAATCATGCCTAGAAAAAATTACTATTTACAAAATTTGAAGGCACTTACCACTTGTAGTGCAGTGCTGGTGTAAACAAGTGTTGAACATGTTTACTTTTTATACTTGCACTTGCATTTTCCCTAAAGGGCAATTATTTACAGAAAAATGAATCGCATTAGAAGCCACTATCTCCCTCAACCAGTGGAATTAGTGTAAGGCCCGATTATTATTAACGATTACGTGTTACTTTTATTTCATTGTATATAAATTCATACTTCTTGTTAAGAGTTTTAACACGTGGCAGAAAGTTCAATTATTTATTTTAGTAAAACTATGGCTAAAGTTCTGTATCCTTGCAAAAATTTTGATGACGTCATCACAAAATCTTGTAATGGAAACACTCGCTCGAATCATACACACAGCATGCTTGTCTACCGTCACTCTAAGATTACATGTATGCGTAACTTTATTTTAACTTATCAAAAAAATAAAATTTGCAACATTAGATCTTACAATTTTTCGAAAAAACTGGAGTGTACGCCGGGCAAGGGAAGTTCTGTCTAAATAACTAATGATTTGTCAGTTTTATGTTTTTCCAATTTTTCGATTTCTCAACTGTTCAGTTTTTAATGGAACAATTTTTCAATTATCGGATTATCCAAATTCTCGATTTTTCAATTTTTAAATTTTTCATTTTTCACTTGCTTAATAAATAAATTTTACAATTTTTGATTTAACAGATCAGAATTTTCAGTTTCTTGATTTTTCAACTTACGATGTATCAGTTTTACGATTTTACCATTACTCGATTTTTCAATTTTATAATTTTGCAGTTGTCGATTCTTGAACATGCTTTAAAATAATCTGGGGAGATATTATAAACTAAAAACCAATTCCCTATATTCGCTATGTCCAAATTTGGATGCGGCACCCTGTAGACTCGTTTTCCTAATAGTACAAGAATAAGAAAATTGTTCTGCATTTTCGGCCTATGGTTTGAGTAACAATAAAACCAATCTTCAAATAAACTCAAGTGATATCACTAAATAGTCCTATATTGGAGAGGAAATAAAAGAATTACGTAAATCGTATCTTTTATTTTAAGTTTAATAATTATCATATAACTTGGTTTCAAGGCTAATAATTTTCTTATGGTCAACAGAGATCGGAAGGCTGTTAAGCAAGGTATAGAACCGTTGCGTGCTTCTTATGTCAAGTTTAGTCACAAAATACTCTCTAAATGTATTTCGAGCAAGCTCGACTAAACTTGGTATATGTGGATAATTTCCTTTTTTTGCCAATTTTTTGCTCGACACTTCGCGGGCACGATATTCATCCAATTTAGAATGGACAAAATAATTCATTAGTTCAAATACAGAATCCACCGTGTATTCTCTTAGAGAAAGTGTATGTAAGGTCGAATTAACCTCACAAATATAAAATACCAATGCGCTCGGATGAATTACTCCATAGTCCTTACGTTCATAATCCAGGAACAAAAGAAGCTTGAATAGTTCGCAGTATCCATATTCTTGAAATACATCGTCAAAAAGCTGTGACCCAACTCTTAAACCCCAAGGGAGTAAATAAGCAAAAAATTCTGTAACATTCGCTTCATCGGTGCATTTAGAGATGTAATGAAATCCTGTTTTACTGTTCAACATGTGAATAAATTCGATAACACATTTATTCAAAGTTGTGGAACCGTGGAGGAGTAAGTCAAACTTCTTTAAAATTTTATCTCCACCGAAGCACATTTCAATATCAGGTAGGGGCCTTAAGAAGAAATATCCACGAGACTTGGGGTCAGCCTTGGAATAATCAAGCAGGTAAGTCTCAAAAATATGACAACATATGTCATTATACTCTTCAAAAATTATTTCAAAATAGTCAAATTCCAGTTGAAGCAAGTCTCTAAGATTTTCTGAAAAGTGCATAAGTTTGTTTTCATGTGGGAAAAATTCAACATCATATTTCCTTAATTGATGAAAAAGTGGCGATTTTAATTTGGCCAGTTGTAATAGCACACTAATATTCAGTTTATAGTGTGAGTGATATGGATAATCAAATGCAAAATCAAACGACATTTCTTGGACAAAATTTGTGTGTTTATATATCACCGCTAGCTCAAAGCAATTGTATCCGTCATGAAGTTCCCCCAAAGCGTCAGCACCATTGCACAATAAAGTGGTAATTAATTCTTCACTATTAGTGTCCGGATTTCTCACTAGCGCCGTGTGAAGTGGAGTGTAACCCAATTTTTCTGCATTAGGATCAAGTCCTTTGTTCAGCAAAAACTTTGCGGCTTGACAATTTGTCCCTCTAACAGCTATGACTAACAGATTTTCATCACTCGTAACAGAAGAATATTTTTTTAATAATTTATCAACGTAGTACTTAGGCACAGAGTTCTGACCACTCAACACGGAATCTAAGGCAGCAATAGTTCCTGCATCGTCTTTGGGATGAAATGTGAGCAAAAAATCAAATATTTCTTTCCTGCAAAATAAGTTACGTACTATAGACGTAATAATGAACTAAAATCCTTAGATGTGTACTCACCGTTTTTTCTTCATCGACTCCATATATAGAGTGATGCGGTGGTTGTTACCTTGTACAAGAAAAAAGTTTCTGGATAAATGTAAAACAAGTTTTTTAAAATTGTCGACGTGGTTGTTTTCAATAGCATTCGTCAAAGTTTCCATAAATTGACTGTTCTCATGTCTTTGTAGTATGTGTTCCATTTTGAACAGACACGTGTTTTTAACATATGAAACTCAAAGATGAACAAATATGAAACAATAAATAGGAAACGACACAGAGATAAGATATTTGTTGATCATGCTAAAGTCTGTATGATATTTTATCTAAGTTGGGTTAATCTACGCTTTAGCTGCGATTAGACAAAAATAAAATTTGAATCTTAACAATATTATGTACTTGAACAAATACTCTACAATAAATAGTGTTTGTTGTATATTTCAGTACAACAAAAAGTAGTTTATATTTAATTAGGGCTAATTAAATAATGGCTATATATAATAACCCCTTAGTTAACTAACCACAAAACGACAAAGTCGTCCAGTATTATAGATTTTATACAATTTAGGATGTCCTAATGTGTTTCCGAAAACTTAAAAAAAATTTAATAAAGTTGAATTGTTAATGAATGTCCTTTTTTAAGTAATTTGAGAATATAGTTTAACACTGAGTGGGGTTAGACCAGTCGAAGATTTTCAATAATAAAAAAGGTTTCTTCATGAAAATTTCACAAGTTTTGTTCATATGATAAAGGAAGATTTTTTTTAGATATATACATATAAGGATGGCAATGCAAAAAAAATCACACTGATAGAATCAGCAATGTATAATTATATTACTAGCTTAAAATTAGGTCACTACTCCCAACAAATATCGATATGATATAATAATTAACACATAATTGTATTTTCAAAATGATCAAATGATACCATGCTTATGATAACTTTAAAACATTTTCAAGATTTCAAAGCATTCGGTTTTGTAGTTCCTGAGTAAATCAATCAAATAAATTTACGCATTCATTAATTTTTTTGAGTCACCCTGTATATGCAAATCCAAAAAATATGAATGGAGTGATAAATCACAAGTACAGACTCATCATATTTTGTACAGTTTAGATAGGATTTATTCAGCAAAATTTTGTGGTGAAGTCATAAATTTTTTAGGGGGGACGACCAAATACATTTTGTTCAAAAATTTATCATGTTTATGATCATTTTAAAACATCTTCAAGATTTCGAAGCATTAGGTTTTGCAGTTCCTGAGTAAATCAGTAAAATAAATTTACTCATTAATGAATTAATTTTTTTGAGTCACCCTTTATATGTAAATCCAAAAAATATGAATGGAGTTATATATCACAAGTACAGACTCATCATATTTCGTACATTTTAGATAGGATTTATTCGGCAAACTTTTGAGCTTACGTCATCAAATTCTTGGAGGAGATAACCAAATATATTTTGAGTAAAGATTTATGATGGTCTTTACAGCCTTAAAACATCTGCAACATTTCAAAACATTCGAGTTAGCAGATTTAAAATTAAATTGCAAAATGTTGTTTTATAATTTTGAATTTTTTTTCAAAAATCTGGACGTTTCGGGTAAAAACTCAATTCGGAGTCGTAAACTACATGTATAGGACGATGTTATTTTATACAATTTAAAGCCCATTAACTATGTACAATTTTGAAGTGACGTCATCGCGTTAGTGATGGGGATGATTAGATAAATTTTGGTCAGCGTTTTACCATCTACATTCTACATGATATTCCTAATATAAGTACAAAATTTCACAAAAATCGGTCTACTACTTTCGGAGATTATCTGTCTAATAAAAATCCGGGACGACAGACAGACGGACAGACGGACAGACGGACAGACGGACAGACGGACAGACAGACGGAAATGGGAGACCTATTTCTTCGTCTTCAAGGGGTCATGAAAGATCGAGAAAACGTAAAAGTAGAGAGTCGGCCGACGGACTCGATTACAATACTTCCTTTGCTTACGCTCGGAAAGTAAAAATTCGACTATTAACACTTTCAGATTACAAACATCAGTGATAAAAAAAATGATATTTGATTAATTTTCAAACCTTGAAATATTTGCAAGATTTCACAGCATTCGGTTTTTGCAATCTCAAATTTAAATTGTAAAATATGTATTGGTTATATAATTTGCCAATATTGCCAAGAAAAAAAACTCAATATGGATTCTTAAATCACACATACATGCATGTTATTTCATAAAATTTGAGGCATATCGGCAGAATATTGAGATGATGTCATCATTTTTTGAGGAGGCCATAAACGCATAAATTTTAATTAAAAATTTATTATACTTCCTACAACGTTAAAACATTTGCAAGATTTCACAGCATTCGGTAGATAATATTTGTTAATCTAAATTTTAAAGGTGACGTTAAAAACGGAGTTGATTGCGAAATTTTGGTAAGCGTTTTACCATCTACACAATATTCCTAATGTACATATAAAATTTGGTAACAATCGATTCAGTAGTTTCAGAGAATATCTCGGTCTAGGACAATTCGGCGCGGCCGACTTGGCGCGGCCAACTTGGCGCGGCCGACTTGGCGCGAGACATTTTGGCGCAAAGCCAACTTGGCGCAGGGACACTTTGGCGCAAGCCATCTTGGCGCGAATGAACTTGCACCACGAAAAATAGATATAATTATACAAAAATTGCACCCGTTGTTATCATAACCCAATTTTTATAGTCTCCAACGCGTGGAGGGGTAATGTCCACTTTTTAATGGACACACGGGCGCTTCGCGCCCGGCACCCCATTATAAACATACTCCTAAACGTGGAACTTCTTGCTCCGTGGATCATTTAGTTATTGGAATTTGTGCGAATGAAATTCCGTGTGTATTTGGTTGCCTACACTTGGCGTAAATAACAGGGTGCCAACCACAGTACGAAAAATAAATATTTTTTATATTATATACCGACGTACTCGCGCCAAGATGGCTTGCGCCAAAGTGTCCCTGCGCCAAGTTGGCCTTGCGCCAAAATGGCTCGCGCCAAGACGGCCGCGCCAAGTCGGTCGCGCCAAGTCGGCCGCGCCAAATAGTCCCATTCCGAGAATATCTATCTCATAAAACTTCGGGTAGACAGACAGAGAAACGGAGGTCCTATTTTTTCCTACTCTAGGGGTCTTGAAACGTCGAGAAAACATAAAACTAGCCAGTCGTCCAGTGGGCTCGATTATAATACATACTTCCTTAGCTTACACTCAGGAAGTAAAAAAGAAATATTGCACTATATTTTCATGCTAGACAATACATTATTTTTTCCATGTTTCTTCTTTTCTGTCAATTATTACTTTTTATATAAAATTTTCTGATTTTCGTTTCGTTGTTTGTTATTGATCTCGCTTTATTTACTATATCTGAGTGGGGGGAAACATTGTTTCTCTCAATTCCCTAATATAATATTACAATGTAGAACTAGAATTAATTAATTAATGAATTAGTTTACTCTTTTGTTCAGTAGTGTAGTATAACTAATTCTATTATTATTGCTATTAATGATATTATTTTGAAAGAAATTTGTAGAAAAGAGGGTGGAATAAACATAAATAATTAATTAATTGATTCTTTTTCCACAGTCTTAGATTTTACAATAGGTAGGTATTAATTTCAAAATCACAAATGAAACTGTATAAAATGTCAGTCATTTGTAAATCCGATGTAATTTCAGTGATTGTTGATAGGGTTAAAAATTGATTAAAATTATTTACATAAATTAACAACAAGTGCATTTGGAGTCCAGTTTTTTCTACATTTTTCATTTTTTTTTTAAACCATTTTGAATATATTGCTTGAAGTTACTCTTTATATAATTTGTGTTTATTCAAAATTAAGAAAAAACTAGGCAATCGCCGACAAATATGGTCAGTCCATCATAGAAAAAAACTGTGTATGTTTTTTTTTGATTTGTGGACATAGATGCCTGAATTTTATATTGAATTACCATAAAATTTTTGTCAAATGAGTTAATTTATTAAACCAAAGATTGTCAAGTTTATTATTTATATTTCACGTCATTCACTAATCAAATAAAAAGTAAAGGTCCCAGCTCTGAGCCCTGTCAAACACCCGATGAAATATCAGTAAGTCGAGATTTGTAGATAAAAAAAGTGACTGTTACCAATATGGCTCTTTTGAAACGGCATTTTAACCGAGAATACGAATATCTTCTACCAGACGTATGTACCTCTTTTTAAAGTGGAAAGGAGAATAGACGATTTTCTTCTGTTTCATGTTGCAATTTTCTGGTAAATAATAAAAAAATGAGTCTAATTTTGCATCAAACTTAAATATTTTGTTTTTGGATAAACATGCTGATTTGGCACAATTACCCCGTTGTTACGGAAAATGCTAATAATAGAATCAACACTAGAGAATGTAGAGTTACTATAAATATGCTCTTTATTATTAAATGGATATGTAGGCAGAAATTATTAATATTTCGTAATTAGGCTTGTAGTACACCGATCATAATGACGACTTCTTTAAAATTAAAAGACACCGTAGTAACTATTTTTTCCAATGTGAGAATTGTAGTTTTTAAAAGTGACTGTAGAGTTTTTAAATCAAAATTTCATTGATATGACTTTTAAAAAAATGTACATCAACTTCAACTTTGTGCGTTGCCGTCCTAATGTTTATGGAAGACAATACAACAAAACTAATAGAAATGAGTAAATCTGTCAAATAGGAAATAAAGCAACTATGTAAACCACATCTTTTATTTTAATTTTAAACATTATATAACTTAGTTTCCAGGCTTATAATTTTCTTATGGGTAACAGAGATCGGAAGGCGGTTAAGCAATGTATAAAACTGTTGCGCGTTTTTTATATCAAATTTAGTCACAAAATACTCCCTAAATGTATTTCGAGCAATCTCGACTAAACTTGGTATATGTGGATAATTTCCTGTTATTTCCAATTTTTTGCTCGGCTCTTCTTGTGAACGATATTTATCCAATTTAGGATGAACAAAATAGTTCATTAGCTCAAATACAGAATCCACTGTGTACTCTGTCAGAGAAAGTGTATCTAAGGTCGAATTAATCTCACAAATATAAAATACCAATGCACTCGGATGAACAACCCCATATTTGTTATGTTCAACATCCATGAACAAAAGAAGCTTGAATAGCTCGCAGTATCCATATTCTTGAAATACACAGTCAAGAAGCGTTGATCGTACTCTCAGACCCCAAGTGAGTAAATAAACAAATATTTCTGTAACTTCTGTTTGATTGGTGCTTTTAGAAATGTGAGAAAAAACTTTGTAGCTGTCTAACGTGCTAATAAAATCGATAACATTTTTATTCAAAGATGCTGGACCATGAAGGAGTAAGTTAAACTTCATTAGAGTTTGTTCCGCACATAAACATCTTTCAATATCTGGTAGACGCCTTCCGAAGAAACTTCCACGAGAGCTAGGTTCAGACTTGAAGTAATGAAAGATGTAATTCTTAAAAATTTCAAAACATATACTATTATACTTTTGGAAAATTATTTTAAAATAATCAAATTCCAGTAGAAGCAAGTCACTCAGATTTTCCAAAAATGGCGTATTAATGTATTCATCCAGGAAAAATTCGACATCATGTTTTATTAGTTGATGAAAAAGTGGCGATTTTAGTTTACCCAGTTGTAATAGTACACTAATATGCAGGTTATGGTGTGAGTGATAATCAAATGTAAAATCAAATAACATTTCTCGGACAAAATCTGTGTGTGCATGCCTCATTGCTAGTTCGAAGCAGTTGTATCCATTATAAGCTTCAACCGAAGGATCAGCACCATAACATAATAAAGTGGTAATTAATTCTTCACTTCTATTATCCGGATCTATCATTAATGCCCTATGAAGTGGAGTCCAATCCCCCATTTGTGCATTAGCGTCAAGTCCTTTGTCCAGCAAGAGCTTCGTAGCTTGGGGACACTTTTCTGTAGCAGTTCTGACAAGCAAGTCTTCATCATTCTCGACATAAGTATATTTATTCAACAATCCGTTAACAAAATAATCAGGCACAGAGTTCTGATTCTTCAGCACGTGTTCTAAAGCAGCAATGGTCCCTTCATCGTCTCTACCATGAAATGAAAGCAAAAAGTCAAATATTTCTTTCCTACAAAATAAGTTACATACCGAAGTAATATACTAAAACCCTTATATGTATACGCACCGTTCTCTTTTCATAGACTCTGCATACAAGGTAAAGCTATAGTCGTTACTTCCAATAAAAAAACTTCTACCTATATTAAAAACGATTTCTTTAAAATTTTTGATATCATTGTTTTCAATATCATTCGTCAAAATGTTCATAACTTGACGTTCCTTTCGTCTTTGCCTTACGTAAGTACCACACGCCATTTTGAAAACACACGTGTGCCTACTAACATGAATTCCAAAAATATACGACAAAAGAGATAAGATATTTATTAATCGCACTAATCAATATTGTATATTATCTTAGTTTGGGTAATTTACGCTTTGTAAAATTCACCCTATGGGTCTGTACTCTGACTTGATTTGTGAATAAAAATAACTTTTTTCTCAAGTGAAATTCATTTTTATATTTGTTCTCACTTTTTTTTTTAATTTAAAAGGTTTTTTCAACACCAGTGGTTAAAATTTCAGTAGTTCGGAAATGCCACTGTCGGTGGGCTCACACCAACACCTGAAAAGAAAACACTGATCTATAATTATTTATTTATTTTTTAATTTTGATTTTTCTTTTGAGACATCCACAATGAAATGCCCACTCAAAATCATCAGTTACTGATATAATTTCCAACTGAGTAATGTAGACCCTGCTGTTGTGTAATGAATATATTTTCATGGATAAATTTGATGATTTTATTTACACTTTGATTAAGTGAGATATAAATAATTGTTTTAAGAAAAATTAATCGCATTTGACGCCGCTGTTTCCCTCAACCAGTGAAATTAGTGTAAGGCCCGACTATTATTAACGATTTGATACCTGAATCTGAAATTTTGTGAAAGGAATTCGTCAACACGTGTTACTTTTGTTTCATTGTATGTAAATTCACAGTTCTTATTAAGGGTTTTAACTGCATAGAGTTCTAATACTATTTAACTTCGATAATAAAAATGTTTCCGTAAAACACGTGGCAGGAAATTCACTTATTCAGACTCAACTTATTTTAATAGAATTATGTCTAATGTGCTGAATGTTTGTACTTAAGTTATTACTTATTTTAAATTAGTTCATTAGTGGCATTTAGACTATTCGTAAACATTGATTGGACTCGAAAGATATTATCTGTTAAATTAATATCAACTTGAACTTGAAAAAAAGAGAACTTTCACATTTTATTTTTTCAACTTGAATTTGAACATTTGGTCTTGAAGGACGCCGATTTTGCAATTTTTTTGACTTTTCAATTTAAAAATTTCGCAAATTTTTAATTTTTAAATTTTGTAATTTTTCTATTTCACAATAATTACCTGATTCGGTGTTTAAATTTATATTCCTGCAATTTTTCAGGTATATAATAGTTTCATAATTTTTAAATTTAACGATAAATAAAACGGCTGATTTCTATGGATTTATGAAAAACAATCCATACTATTGTGGTGACCGAATTTGAATTAAAATTTTGATTAATAATTTGAATTTGAAAAAGAATTCAATCAAGAAAAATCGTTAATCATAGGCAACCATGTGCACGTTTATTTCTTTTTTTTGGTAGTTGGTAGTTCTGCTTGGAAATTTAGTTAGAGGGTTGGTAGGGAGAAAGGGGTGCTTGGTTTGTAGAGGGTGGGAAGAGGGTCACTTTTGGTTTATTGTTGTGAATGAAAACCACGTGATGAGTTAGCTAGGTTAAGTTTAGTTGGAATGTTGGAAATAGGTGAATTTTCAATCGACGCTAACATGTGTGTAAATTTGTTTTATTGTTTGTAAATTCACAGTTCATGTTAAGAGTTTAATCGTCAACTAGTTCTAACACAATTTAAAAGTAAGGAATTTGTTGAGATCATGTACTTGCTAGGAGATTTCATGAGATTCACTTACTCAGGAGTCACCCTTTGTTTAGGAAATTATGAATAAGGTTTTCTGGATGCTTATACTTAAGTATTACTTTATAACACTTCTTGATTCCTCACATAAGATTGCTAATAGTTCATTAACGGCAGTTAAAATTAACCTAACGTTATCCTACTCTGGGAAAAGGACCGTGGAAAATGCGATAGAATTCATAATATCGTGAACCGGACATCATCACATCTTCGAGATATGTTTCTCTAGCAACGCTTGAGAGGAATGCGTTTTATGTTTATTTATCATGTGTTTTGTTTGGGATAAGCTGGGGACAGTTCACGATATAAACTCTCAAAGCTAATTGTTTGAACCGTTGATAAATTGTGGCATCATTTAACGTAATGTAAATTCTTTGAATCGTTGATAAAGTGTGGCATAATTTAACATCAGGTAAATTCTTTGTTCTGGCAGCGGCCATGTTGAAAGAGTATTTTCAAACCGAACACATGTTGGAACTGTAAAATCTCGTTGAAAAATTAACAACATCGTGGGTCAAGTCTCTTGCTTTTATAAATCTTTGCTAGTTTTTTTTTGGTTTGTAAATATTTTGTTGATTAATGCTTCCATCATATAATTGTCTGATGTCCAATCTTCATCTCAGATAAGAATTCTTTGTTGATCTGTTAAATTAATATCATTTTGGACTCGAAAAAGAGAAAACTTTCATATTTTATTTTTCAACTTGAATTTGAACATTTGGTCTTGAAGTCCGGCGATTTTCCAATTTTTTTGACTTCTCAATTTCAAAATTTCGCAAATTTTTTATTTTTGTTATTTTTCTATTTCACAATAATTACCTTATTCGCTGTTTAAATTTCTATGTCTGCCATTTTTCAGGTATATAGTTTCATAATTTTTAAATTTTACGATTATCCAACTTTTTAGTTTTTGTAATAATGCAACGTTTTAGTTTTTCACTTTAATATTTCAACATTTTTCGATTATCCGATTTTAATAAATCAATTTTCAATTGTTTCATATTTCAATCATAAAATTTTTTCGATATCAAAATTTTTAGATTTTTCAACTTTTCGGTCGTAGACAAACACAAAAAGTTGTAAGGTGTCAAAATTATTTTGTAAAATCTTGAAGTGACGAGATCAAGTTCTAAATAGTTATGATCAGACAAATCTTGATTAGCCTTTTACTATTAACACGATATTCCTAAAACACAGCTAAAATTTCACAACGATCAGTCCGGTAGTTTCGGTGATTATTTGTCTAACAAAATCAACTTGAGGTGATTACACAATGCTTTGATCTGTGTTATTAGATCAAAAAAACTCTAATACTAATTTAATTTTATTGAAAACACTATCTTAAAATTTTTATTAAATATACCAACTTTTTCAAAACGCAACTGCAATTAAATTAATGAAAATTAAATTCGCTTAATTAAAAAAAGTATCCCTCAATTCCTCTGCTATAACTTTTAAATTTAGCAATCCAACCATTCCTGCGCTATTAAAAAATGTATCATATCCGATTCCAACACCTGTCCGAAGACTTAAATGCGCCTCCCTCACCTCCACCAGTATATTTTTAAGGTCCGCACCGATAAGAACCACGTAGCACACACGTTACCACACCGTTCGACTTAAATATATCGAAGTCGTCCCAATTGACTAATTTATGTCGACTTAAGCCAAATCTATTTTCAATACTCTCGCAAAAATGCAACGTAACATCGACACATTAACGAAAACAATCCACAAATACCTCGAACGTAACTCACTCTACGTCGAGAACCCACCGTGGGAAATAAGAAAATCAGACTTGGGTGGATTCGGAGTGTTTGCCGCAAGATCCATCGAGACTGGAGAACTGATCTTCCGAGACTATCCAATAATCCTGGGACCCCGCGCAGCCCTCACGTGTCCTCCACTGTGTGTTAATTGCTACGGCAAGGACAATCTGAGACCTTGTGAGAAAAAATGCGGTCTCAAGTTGTGTTCAGACAAGTGTCAGAATTCTTCAAAACACCAGAAGGAGTGCAAGATTGTCAGACAATGGCAAACTCGACCCATCCCAGAGGAGCTGTCAGAAAAGCTGGGCAAGGTATTCTCACCCATCCGGGCCATTTTGCTCAGCGACGAAGACAAAAAGGTAGTTAGGTGTCTTAAGGCACACATTTCAGACCAGCACGGGTTTGAGGTCGACGTTATGAAGAAAGTTCTTTATTTGGATGTCAAAGAAGACGAAGAAATGTTCATGAGGTTCGTGTGTTGTGTTATGGATGCTAACGCGTTTGAAGTAATTGTAGGGAGCGAAAATAATCAGTCTAGTGTTAAAGGTTTGTACCCTTTGGGTAGTTTGGCTAACCATTCTTGCACTCCTAACACGATTCATGTCTTTGACAACAACCAGCACATGATTGTCAGAGCGTCAACTTTCATCCCTAAAGGGACGGAAATCTTCCATTCATACTCGAGGGTCATCTGGGGCACCCCAACCAGACGCTTCCACCTCTTTCGTACTAAACACTTCCTCTGCAAGTGCCAAAGATGTGAAGACCCGACTGAGTTCGGGTCTTACGTCAGTGCCATTTTGTGTAAAAATTGTAAAACGGGGAAAGTGATCCCCATCGACCCTCTCATCCACAACGGGAAATGGCAGTGTGAGGGTTGCGCCGAAAGCATAAACAAAAAAGATGTAGCAGCCCTTTCTTCCTTACTTGGTAGTACTTTAAATAGCTTCACCAACGACGATGTCGAAATCATGCTCAAATTCATAACCACAAAGCTCGCCACTGTCGTGCCTGAAAACAACGAAACAGTTGTTGAACTCAAATACAAGCTAATTTGGATTTTAGGACATGAACGAGGCTTCACATGGACAGGTGAGTTTATTTTCGTCAGTTTTATTTTATTTTTTTCGTAATGGCTACATCATCCATGTGCAAACCAGAGGAACTTGATAAATACCGCTATAAATATCTCCGAGGTTTATTTTTGAACAACTCAAGTCTAAAAATAACGACGTGTTTTTTCAATAACTCTTCGTTGCAGAACTGTCAGACGATCACCTTTTGGCTAAAGAAAAATTCTGCGGGGAACTCCTAGCCTTGTTGGAGCTTCTTCGTCTGGGACAGTGTAAGATGAGAGGTTTACTCTTGTACGAGCTCTACTGTTGCCACGCCGAACAAAAAAGGAGGCAAGCAAAAGCTGGAAGTGCTTCCAAGGTACGGATTTCATAACGCTTTAATAAAATTTCTTCACTAATTTTAACCGAGGAAAACAGGTTGAGTCATGCTTATACGATAACCCTGTTTGTGCGGAGTTGTTTGCACTAGGTGCACGTTTCGGTTAAATTTATGATAAACGGAGATGTTTTTTTCAGGCTGGAGAAAATAAACGAGCGGAAATTTAGTGCTGAAAAATGTACTTGCGCGAAGTAATTTTTATTTTTAAATTTTTGTTGTTTGTTGGATCGAAACGCTGCAAGTAATAAACCGTAAGTGTCAATCGATCTAAGTTCGGAAAAATCTTGGCACTAGGTCAGAATTTAAGTTATAAAACGCTCCCTGATAAACAAATTAATTGTTGTATTTTGCACTTGTTGGCCAAAATAATAGAGAAACAAATTCATTACAGCGACATGATGACACTCAAATGTTGTTGAACTAGCTGCATAAACAATTTGTAAATGTCAAGGTTAATTTTGTTTGTTTCTCATGCTTTTACTAGGGGGTTATATAAAGAAAGTTGTTTGTAACTTTCAAAATAGAACTTGGTTATTATCCAATAGCATAGTTATTATAGACAGAGGCTTCTTTCATTTACGACAATAAATTATTTTGTGAGTTCATAATGCAGCACTTTATTATGAACGTTTTGTTTCGTTTTGTCTTTTGATTAAATTTTTGCCACTGAACACAAGAATTTCTTCTAATTCTGACAACACTTTTTTCAGACATCAGACAAAAGTTTACTTCTAGAAGCTGCCGACATCTTGATGTACGACGTTGGGGCCCCTCCCGAAATCAAAAAATTGTGGCCAGATGAAATAAAGCTAAGAGAGCAATAATACATAATGTACATGTACTTTGACGTATTATAATTATATATTTTCATATTTTATGTTATATTTTTAAATGAAAAAATGAAAATATTTTATGTTGTATTTTTAAACGAAAAAAGTTATACTAATTAAAAATAAGAATACCATACCTCCACTTCGTGTTACCTCAAGTGAAAAAAAAATTAATAAAGTGCAAATTATTTTATGCATTTGTGTTTACTTAATAATCAAATTGCAGTAATTAAGCCACCCACATTTCCAATATTTTTATGTGATGATATAAGAAGTAGAGTATAAACAAAGCTGTGCAAAATGAGACAACGGAGGAGGGAAAAAGAAAAACGGAAGATTGGGCCGACATATTTAAGAAATCAAAAAAAAAAAACACATAGATCTCCAAAAAAGCCGCAGAAACAGGAAATCAAGGGACACTAGCACAGATGATGGTACTGCCGAAAGATCTCACCAAAGATACAAAAGAAATAAAAAGAAAGCAGCAAGAACATGCAGAGTGTGAGATTAATAACAGAGGAAATGAAAGAAATGAAAAACAAACAAAAGAAATATATCAGAGAAATAAATGAGCTAAAAGTAATTAATGAAAAATGCATACAGGAAACAGACCAGATACGAAATCAATTACAAAACGCCAATGACAAAATAGAAAAATTAGAAAGTGACAAAAGGAGAAAAAATATTGTCGTACAAGGAATGCCAATAAATACGAGTGACCCAAATATATTAAGAGAAGCAATAGGAAATTTTATTGAAAGGGAAATGGGGCTAACAGTAAAAATAAACAAAGCAAAAAAACTAGGAGAGAAAACTTGTTTAGTAGAACTAGATAGCAAACACGAAAAAATAAAAGTAATGCAAAACAAAAAAAAAATAAGTCAGCTGCAAGAAAAAGTATATGTAAACGACGACCTAACCAAAAACGAAAGAGAAATACAGGTATGGAAGTGGAGCAAAGAAAAGGGATTGTTGGAAAAAATAAAAGACAATACCCCACAAAACTAATAAAATTTATAAACCAAGATGCCCCTCGGCAGACAACATGGCAAATAAAAAGGACACGAAAAGGAAAAAACAAAAACCAAAAAAACGCTAATGAGACGAAAAAAAAAACAATAGTAAAAATAGCAACATGGAACATCAGAAGATCCTACCAAGAAGGGAAACTAATTCAACTTGTAAAAGAAGCAAAAAAAAATTCAATTGATGGCATTACAAGAAACAAAACAACTGAAATAAATTACTTAAGAAGTAGGATATTACATATTTTTCAATAGTGGAGGGAAGAACAGACTGCTAGGTATCGGATTTATAATACACAAGAAGCTAAGAACATTAGGTAGATATCAAAAGATTTCATATATCAACATCCATGCACTGTCAGAAGAGAAAAAAAAATGGAAATAAAAGAACAGTACTACAATGAATTAGACCAAGCATACGAAAACATACCAAAATATGATTTGAAAATTATAATTGGAAATGCAAACGCAAAAATGGGTACAGAAGAGATGTTCAGGCCTACGATAGGTAAGCACACCTAACATACAACAACAAATGAAAACGGAAATATATATGTTAATAGATTTTTCAAAAGAAAAAAACCTTGTTATAAAAAGTACCTGCTACCAGCAAAAGACATATAATAATAGAAAAAGACATATACTAATAGAAAAAGACCTAAAAGAATGTATTACACATGTACGCACATTATAGAGGTGCTGATATAGACCCAGACCATTTTCTGGTTGGAGTTAAGATGAGACTACCTAATACCCGAAAAACGAAACGGACACAAAACCAAAAAAAAAAGAAAACAATAATTAGACTGGAAGCAAGAGAAAAACAAATAGAGTTGCACATAGAATCAACCAAGAACTGGGCCCTATTGTACAAGACAATGTACAACAAGCATGGAGCGTAATCAAAGACGCTGTGAATATGGCAGAAAAGAACAGCAAAAAAACCATAAATAAAAAACGTAATAATTAGATGGTTCGACGATCAGAATTGGAGAAACGCAATAAACTAAGACTAAAAATGTTAACAGAATGGACAAAAGAAACAGAGACCAGCTATTTAAAACAAAGAAAAATATGCAAAGCAGTTATACGAGAAAAGAAAAGAAGACACTATGAAGACAAGCTGAAAGACATAGAAGAAAACTTCAAAAATAACCTCGTCAGAAATTTATACCGAGGAATAAGGAACGAAAAAAGAGGATACCAAGCACAACCTGCCTGCTACAAAAATGAGAGTAGAACAATGATAATAGATGGTGAATAAATACTAGACCACTGGAGAAAATACTTCAAACAACTCTTAAACGAAGACAACAACATAGGAGACACCATTAAAGAAGTAACTAGAATACAAAATGAGAGCATAAAATACGAAGCACCAACTCTAACAGAAGTCGAAAATATCATCAAGAATTTAAAAAACAGTAAACGCCCAGGAAGAATCATATAACGAGTGAAATGAGCCATGGAGGACCGCGGCTAATAAACACTATCCTTAAACTACTTGAAAATATATGGGAACCAGAAGTATTACAAGCAGAATGGAATGAAGCAATAGTATATCCGATACATAAGAAAGGGGACAAAGGAAATTTGCAAAACTACACTACTAAACGTTGTATATAAAATACTAGGTACACATATCAAAAATAGGGTGACAGCGCAAACAGATATCATAATAGGTGAATATCAAAGTGGATTCAGAAGAAACCGAAATACTATCGATCAAATATATATCTTAAAAGAAATACAAGCAAAGATATGAATATAACAAACCAACAATGGCCCCTTTTATGGACTTCATACAAGCGTTTGATCGAATCAATTGTAAATTGTACCAAAGCTGATCAGGATGATAAAACTAACCCTTAAAAAAACGGAAAGCAGGGTGAAGATAAAAAATCCTCTAACAGAAAAATTTATGGTAAAAGAGGGCGTGAGACAAGGAGACCCACTATCATCGCTGTTATTTAATCTATTATTGGAAAAAATAATACAAGAAGGTGATATACCTTAAATAGATCAGGGCTAATATACTAGGTACAAAAAATATCAGTGTCTAGCCTTTGCTGACGACATAGTAATTGTAACTAGAAACAGAGATGAGCTGAAGAAAGTGACCAAAAGACTACAAGCAAAGGCGAGAGAGAAAGGGCTTTACATAAACGAAGCGAAAACAAAATATATGGAATGGGCAAATAAGGAATTCGTACAAGGACAGTACCTAACGATGTCAGTGGAGAACATAACGACATACCGATTCGAACAAGTCGAAAGATTTGAATATCTAGGAAATGGCTGTACATGCAAACCATACATAATAGAAGAGATATCCAATAGAATCATTAGAGCAAATCGTTGTATTCAAGTGCTTCATAAATTGCTCAGGAATAAAAATATATCCAGAAGAGCCAAACTAAAAACGTACAAGACAGTTATAAAACCAATTCTCACATACGCATCTGAGACTTGGATAATAACAAAAATGGAGCAGGACATGATACTAGTTTGGGAAAGAAGAGTACTCCGGAAGATATTTGGTAGAAAAGTTAGAAAATGGTCAATGGGAAAGAACAACAAATAAAGAACTAGAAGTGTTATATGGAAAGAACTATGTAATAGGATATGTCAAAGCACAAAGACTCAGATGGTTAGACCACCTAAAGAGAATACCTCAATCGAGGATACCCAAAATGATTTTGACAAGCACAATAGGAAAGAAAAGGAGAAAAGGAAAACCCAAGGAAAGATGGAGCACCGAAGTAATAAAAAATATACAAAACCTTGGTATTACCAACTGGGAAGATAAGCAATAAGCAGACAGGAGTTGAGAAGAATAGTTAATCAAGCCATGGGCCTCCGCATACATTAAACAATTCATATTTAACCGAAGAACGACATCATTGACAAATAGATTAAACAAGAAAGGTTCCAAAACTGACAGCTGTGGCACTCCAGAACGAACGCTAAATTCATTAGAATTTTATCCAAAACAATGAACAAATTGTTTTCTCTCCTGTAGATAGGAAGTGAACAGTTTAATAAGTCTAGGACAACTACCAAAATTAGAAATTTTGTCAACTAATAGGGTATGATCCAACTTGTCAAACGTCTTCGAAAAATCTAACTAAATTACGTGTCTCTGACAACCGTCATCAATCGAAAAAGCAATAAACTGTGTCATGCAAAGAAGGTTGGTAACTGTAGATCTACCATGTATGAAACCATGTTGGTAAGGTGAAATATAATTACTGACTTGAAAATAAAGTTGATCATAAATTAAACACTCAAATATATTGGCAAAATTATTAATAAACGATACACGTCTATAATGCTCCACACAATTACCTACGATCTTTACTTTTGTAAATGGCAATAATTTTTGAAATATTCGGAAATACCCCAGAACGGAAACACAAATTGAGATATATCAAGATTATTCCTAACAGGCTATAGTTTTAATAATTTGCATTTCGAATCATCACCAAATACAAACTCATTTAGTCTTGTGACATAAAATGTCACTTCATCTTCACCAACATCTTTACGAATTCTGGGACGTAGCACCTTAGCCTCTTTTACTACATAATCAGCAGATAGTAGTTCATTAGCAAGCCGCTTAAACTCAGTGACATTTTTGCAGCCCAGAAGTAAACCACCATCTTTTAAATTTTTTATTTTAGCAATTTGCACAGAGGAATTAGCTGGATTTATATTATTATTACAAAACAATTGCCCAAACAGAACTGCTATTCCAATTACTGGACAACGATCAGAAAAAATGAATGATTAAGTTAAAAAAAAAGATAATAAAAGAAATTATTAAAAAGCGAGGAAAAAAAGATGGAAATGCAAAATAGTACAAACCATTAATGTTCAAATGTGTCTGGAATCTCAGTGGGACATCTGGATGTTATTTTCTATAATTCTTTTAATAATTACACTTAATAAATCAAAATGTATATCACAGTCCGCCGCAATGTCGTTAAACAATCTTAGCATGACATATATAGGAGACTTTTTTAACATATTTGTTCTTGGTTGCTCCAGGTGAAATAATGCTTTTACACGGGTATGATATTTTGATACTTTGTACGTAACTTGGTCAGTTAACTCTGTACAGTCTATTTTATTATGTAGTATATTGTACAGCATCTTTGTTCACCCCATTGTCAATCAGATGCACAAATGACAATGACGTGTCAAGTGTAAAGTCTTTTATAGTATTGCATCTATCAACAACGTTACCGTTCAAGTTGTAATCACTTAAGATGGCTTTTACCTTTCTCGTATGACTTCACACTTCTCCGTTGACAGTTGCAAGTTATTATTTGTCAATGTCCCGTTGAAGCCCTCGAACATCCGACAGAGAGTCAATTTTCGTGAAAATTTTAATATCGGCGACAAACATCAAGATGTTGCTAGTTCGCAGCTCAGGAATGTCTCTAAAGAAGATAATAAAAAGTAATAGGCCGAGATTACTACCTTGCGGAACTCCGGATTTTACTAAACATGCTCTTGATTGATTGTTTTCGCAAAAACCTGAAGCAGCCATCTTGTGCAACAATATTTCATGGTCAATGGAATCAAAAGCTTTGCGGATGTATACAGCGGCTACTTGCCCATTTTTATCAAGTACGCGAGAGATAAATTGAGTCATGACTGCAAGAGTGGTTGTCATAGATCTGCATTTTATAAATCCGTGCTGAATGGGATTAATCATGTTTTTTAGTATAACTTATTATAAGTAAGTAGAAGACAATTTCAAAAATTTTGGAAAAGTCACAAATCGGTGCTATATTTGTTCGCCGTTTTTCAGAATTGGACAGAATTTTGTTCTTCCAACACGAGGGAAATAAACCTGATGATAATGATAGGTTAAAGATCTTGGACAATGGTGCCGAAAACGCGCAAATGCAGTCCTTGACTATAAAAGACGGAATACCGTCAGGTCCGGAAGTTAGCTTGTTGTTGAGTTTTTTTGCAGCGACGTGAATGTCGTCAAATGTTATTCGGTCGATTTTAATGTCTGCGCAAGTATTTACATTTCGTTGCATTAAAGGTAACTGCATATCACTGAAAAATTCCGAAAAATACTGTGAGAAGGCATTTACTATATCCTCTGGAGTTGAGTGAACACGATCACCATGCTTAATACAGATGGACATTCTTACTCACGACGTTTAGCGTTTACATAACTCCAACACTTATTTGGTTCTGTTCCAATATTGAATTGAACATCCGCTAAATAACGTCTATGACATTGACGAGATAATATTTTTATTTGTTTCCTTAAACCCAACAATTCGTCACGTAATTGATCAGTTGGTGATTTTTTATAAAGGATATAAACGCGTTCTTTCCGTATTATTAGTAGGAAAAATCTTCCTTCGCCCTAGCGTTCTTAGTGGTAGATACAACAAAAATAATTCCTGCAAAACGCAACAAGCGTCTCGGTGATGTAATCAATCTTTGGCGTTGCGAGGACATGCCGCGATGAAGTAATCAATCTTTAGCGTTGCGAGGACAAGCCTCGATGATGTAGTCAATCTTTAGCGTTGTGAGGACATGCCTCAGTGATGTGATCATGATAACGATGATAATAACGATAATAACCGCCTAAGGGAAGAAATTATTTTAACCCCCCGCCAGTTCGCGGTATGAATTAGTTTAACTGCTACAAACGAACTATTAGCAATCTTGTGTGAAGAATTATGAAGTGTTATAATGTGGCACTTACGTATATGCATCCAGACACTCATTTATAATTTGTTAAACAAAGAATTAATTATCCTGACTAAATGAATTTCATGAAATCTCCTAGTAAATGGTTTATTTAAATACCTGATTGGTGAATTTACAAACAATAAAACAAATTTACAGCACGTCTTCCGATTAAAAGTCGCAAGAATTAGCCGCGCGGGTTGGGGAAAACGCCCTCTAACTAAACATGCAGAATTAACCCCTAAGACCTTCAATGTTTAATTTTCTTTGAGATAAATATTTGACCATATTTTAATTATGTAATATGTATGTATAATTTAATTTACAGTTTAATAAATTTTCAAGCTTATGATTATCCAATTTTTAATTTTGTAATTTTACCGTTTTACAATTTTTTGATTTTTCAGTGTAATTATTGTACAATTTTTCGTTTTGAAAGGTATCCGATTTTTCAATTTTTCCGTTTTACACTATTTTAATTTTGCAAATACAATTTTTGGAGGCCTCAATTATTCGGTTTTAGTTAATCAGTATCTCAATCTTATAAGGCTTCGTTTTTAAAATTTTTAGTTTTTTCAAATATTCAATTTTTGATTTTTCAATTATAATTATCAAAATTTGAGATGAGATTCGGATAATTATCCGAATCTCATCTCAAATTTTGATTTCGAATTTTTTGATTTATAATTTTTCAATTTTCCAAGATTTTGATTTTTTAGTTTCATAATTTCGCAACTTTTCATTTTTTCAATTTTGTTCATAAAACACATCTCGAAGTTGTCCACTCATTAAAAAAATATACCACAATTTCATATGAAAACGACCAACCAAAAATTAATTTTGAACTCTTGTGTTTTTTAGCATATTTGGATCAGTCAGACAGTGTAAATTTAGTACAAAGTTGACGACGCCTTGACCTTGACATATAATTGTTGATATCCTGGTAAACAATGGGTTGTGACGATGGAACGGTGTTCATTTTAAAGCTCTTAGAACGGACTTCAATATACTTAGTAAGAACCACTTTTTGAAAAAAACATTTTTTTTAGAACATTTTTTAAAAGTGTCAGAATCGTACATTTCTAAAACGCATTTCTTTAACATTAAAAAGCGATATTTTCTGTGCCATTTCTCAAAATTTTATCATCACATTAAAAAAAATCGAACAAAAATAAGGTATTGGTGTTACCAGATGAGATCAGTAGGTAAAATTATAGATAGTTACCCGAAAGATGATTTTTTCAAAATAAAGTGAAAGGTTTCAAAAAGCTAATTTTGGTCGTGGTATCCAAAAAATTCACTTTGCATTGCCAAAATCAATGAGACAATTTAGAACAAAAGTTTACTAATCATACTTACTACTTTATTAATATTTTGTTGTCCCTCTTTCTGATCTTGGAAATATGGTAAGCGTATGTAATGTCGATTCCAATGTGTAACACTAAAAATTATAGCATAGGAATAATTTAAGTTTAAAATTTGCTTTGATAATTCAACGGAGGAGCTGTAATAGCTTATTCATAAATCTTGAGTTTACGTCATTTGAATTCAGCAACAATTCAGTAGTAATGTTATATATATATATATATTCAGACTCTAAGTCAAAACTTCGCATCAAGATATAGAAGAAATATGCGCTTAGGCTAAATGCTTTGCGTCAAGGTATTAAAACCTATACTTTTTTCTAAAACAGACTTAAATTTCTGAAAAACTTTTTCACCTAATTTACCTCGAATATTGGATAGTTTTTGACAACAATTTGTTACTAGCTGAATAGAATCTGCCGGTGTTAGATTGTTAGAAACAAGTTTTAAAATTATATCAGCAACTATGGAAAAATTAGCTACCAATCGAGATGGCAATTTTTGGTATAAAAACCTTCATAAATAAACCTTGTAATGGTATTATTTGTCCTTTCCAAGGCTTTTGTGTTAATTAAATATGAAGTGCCACATTTTTAAATAGTCAAAGTTCCAATCAACAAATTTGCGACATAAGAGATGGGTGGGGCTTCTCTTTTGGTTTTCCTTTTTAATTAATACATTTAGTTTTCTTTGTATAACCGATTACTTAAGAACACATTTCGCATGGTAATTTCTCGTAGAAAAATAAGTACTTTCGAATGAAGATCCACCCCTCGGCTCAGCACGAATAAAAAAAATCATCAGAATTGCGATAGGGCGGGTGGGCGGGGCTTATATTTTGCCTTTTTTTTCTTAATATACTTAAATATGTTTTAAGTTTCGTGTTGTAAAAAGAAGTCTACACATATTAAAACAAAAAGGTAAAATGTAAGACCACCCACCCGCCCTATCGCAATTGTGATGATTTTTTTTGCCGTGAACCAAGGGGGCGGAGCTGAACTGCAAAATAATTACTTCTTAACAAGGAATTTCAAACATGTTTTTGAGTATTGGATTGTTCAAAAAATACCAAGTGAAAATATTAACCTCAAGAACTATAGTTTTACTATACTTATTGAACATTTTATTTGGAAGCGTAACCTCACGCCTCAAGAATCAAAAAGTGGGACTTGAATCACTCATGCGTCAGTAAAAATTATAATATTTACCCAAAAACAATTTTTGATTGTATGCATTATTTAACATTATTTAACAGTCGTCTAATTTAAATCTAAAATTTTTACCCACTTGCTTAACCTTTCCGACCAGAACAACGAAAGAATTAATTAACATCTAAAAGGCCATCATTTGTTTCCCATTTGATATATAAACGAATTCTTTTGATGAATACTTTATTTCTAAACATGACGAAGAAACCGCAAAGTGATCATTTTTACGGAAAATGGTTATCACATCCTCCACCGGGCGAAGAAGTCGTAATATCTGGTAAGTTACTATTAAGAATGGCGTTATCAGACTGTAACCTGAAATATAGGAATTGCCGGTGAATTTCCTGAATCCGAGAATGTTAACGTATTTCGTGAGAACCTCTTTAATAAGATCGATATGGTAACAGTGGATGATAGGAGGTGGCGTCTTGATTATCCTCAAACACCGAAAAGATTTGGTAAGCTTAAGGAAATAGCAAATTTCGATCCTGGTTTCTTTGGGCTGCATTATCGTCAAGCGAATTCGATGGATCTAACAATGCGAAAGATTCTGGAACACGTAATAGAAGCTATTATGGATGCCGGCGTCAACCCGTCAGAATTAAAAGGAACAAAAACTGGAGTGTTTGCAGCAGGCTATGGTAGTGAAGTGGCAGTTAGTACAATCAAGTCTTTTAAGGAACCACAACAATTTGCTGTCACCGGAAACATGAGGATTTTTGTTGCTCACAGGATAAGTTATTTCCTTAAAGTTAAAGGACCTTCTACGGTGGTCGACAGCGCTTGCAGTTCGTCACTCACTGCCATTGACGTGGCTTTTCAAGCTATCAGAAATGGAGAATGTGACAACGCCATCATATGTGGTTCTTCCTTGTTGGTTCTTCCTCAAGTAATGGCAGCCTTTGCGATGTTAGTATCCATTTGTGTTGGATTTTTTACTATTTGAGCGTAAGCTAAGGAAATATTGTAATAGTGTCCATCGGACAACTCGCTAATTTTGTGTTTTCTCGACCCAGATTTTTATTACACAGATACTCTCCAAATTAAATGTATGTTAGGAATATCGTGCAGATGGTAAAACTTTAACCAAAATTTGTCTAACCCTCCATGAAATCCTCACAAAATTTTTCATGCTAAGTGGAATTTACGTTTTATTGAAATACCAGACCCCTATATTATTATCTGCTATTATTAGCTGTATGTTTGAGGAGACAAAAACTTGTACTAAGTAGTGAGAAATTGTTTACCATTGGTTACTATAATAAAAATTTATTGCAGGTGCGGAGTTTTAAGTCCTGAGGGAAAATGCAAAACTTTCGACAAGGACGCAAACGGTTACCTGCGATCCGAAGCTGTCGTATGTGTTTTTTTGCAGAAAGCGCAAGCTGCTAGAAGAATTTACGGAAAAGTATTTTATCTAAGAAAAATTTCAAAACCAATAAACTGTAATTAATTTATTCGAAGGTGATCCACATGAAACAAAATGTTGATGGCTTCAAAGTACAAAGTATTAATTTCCCATCAACAAAAATGCAAGAGAGAATGATGACTGAAGCACTGTTCGATTCGAAACTGGATCCAAATGATGTGGCCTATGTGGAAGCCCACGGAACTGGAACAGTAGTTGGCGATCCAGCAGAAAGTCAAGCAATTGACAACGCCATTGCCAAGAAGCGTTCGAAACCACTGATTGTCGGATCCGTCAAAAGCAACATCGGTCATGCTGAAGTCATATCGGGACTCTGCTCTCTCAGTAAAGTAATAATCATGATGGAAACGGGATCAATAATTCCGAATGATAATTTCAAAGAGTACAATCCGAGTTTGAAAGGATTTGTAGAGGGACGAATGAAAGTAGTAACAGATTTAACACCAATCGAAACCGGTAATGATGTTTTTGTAATAAATAATTACGGCTTTGGAGGTAGCAATGCCCATATGTTACTAAGACGTCTAGATAAAATAAAAAGTCCAGGAGATTTACACGAAGATCTACCACGATTAGTCTGTGTTAGTGGACGAAGTGAAAATTCTGTTTCTATCTTATTAGATGAATTGGATCGTAAAAAGCTTGATCCAGAATACGTAGGTTTGCTTCATCATCTTTTCAAAAATAATGTTCGGGGTCATTTGTGTCGAGGCTTCGCAATCGTTTCGAAAAATTCTTCAACTATCAGATCTACGAATACTTTGTCACAACAAACGAGCGACTTGTATATAATTTTCGGACGCTTTTTTAACAATTTTGCAGCTGTAGGGAGATACCTGCTTCAGTTTCCTGTATTTGAAGACATTATTGAAAAGTAAGTGGTCATTGTAATTAATGTCAAGTACTTATGTTAGATAATGTTAGAATCGACAACTGCAACAATAATAGGAACGAGATTAGGAACGTGTGTGACAAAGCAACGACACATTTAGGCGAAGCTGTGCTTCAGCTAGGAATTGTAGAACTGTTGAAACTCTTGGAAATTCAAACATCAGTTGTGTATGAAGACAATTGGGGAAAAATTATTGCTATGTATTACCAGGGGAAACTTGGTTTGGCCGAAACGCTCTCGAAGTTAGAGGTACTAGACAAAAAATGCATAACTAATGGAATAGGTAGCTATTTTTAATAACTAACTTTTAGTTTATATTTTAAATACATATTACAGAGAACGAAGACAATAATAACTACGAGAACAAAGTCAATGTTTACAATAGAACGTTAAACAAACATAAAAACTTTATTCTGCTAAATATATCAGACAAAACTATACTTGAGAATAACAGTTGTACCCTGACCGAAAACAACTTTCTACAGATCCTAGGAAGGTAACTGTATATAAATAACGAAATTTCAATTAAGTTAACCAAATTTTAAAACTATAGGTTATACAACCTAGGCCACAACCCACAAATTCATAAACTTTATCCGACGATAGAATTCCCAGTTAGTCGAGGTACACCTATGCTATCTCCAGTACTTAAATGGAACCACAAGAAGAAATGGAACACATTCAGTTATCACGAATTTGAAAAGGTACACAGTACGCCAGAAAGAATGTGGCCTTTGTCAACTGAAATTTATCGAGATCAGAAATACCTAGAAGACCACGTGGTTGACGGTAAATGAGTAATAATTATTTCCAAAAGTTTGTGCTAAATGATAATTTCAGGACGAAGCTTAGTCCCAGCGACAGAGTATTTAAATTTAGTTTGGAAAGTGTTCGCTCTACAGCTCTGCATCAATCAAGAAAGATTACCTGTGGTTTTCGAAAACTGCAGATTTCTGAAGGCTCAACCTATAGGAGGCAACATTTATCTTTCGCTAAAGATATCTATTCATATTCATTCTGGTAAATTTGAAATTTTTGAGACAGAATCCAGCAGCCTTGTCATGACGGGAAGGATTTTTACACCCGTGGACATCGAAAAGTATAAAACTGATTTACCTCTACCTCCAATAAATGAAGAAGGAGGAGCAACAGAATTCTTAGAATCGAACGAAATTTATCGAGAACTGAATCTTCGAGGATATAATTACAGGTGATTTTAGTGGTAGAAGTAACAAATTGTAATCACAATTATATTTTAGGAACACTTTCCGGGGTCTTGTTAAATGTAATGTAGAGGGAACCTACGGATTAGTAAAATGGGAAAATAACTGGACCACCTTTATCGACACCGTTCTTCAACTGAAAATTTTTGAAGTAGATGCAAGAACACTGTTTGTTCCTGTGAGTTTCAACAGAGTGATAATTGATCCAATAGCTCACCTGGAATTTATCAAAGAAACAAAGAATTTTTTGTGTCCCGTTTATTCTTATAAAGACTGCCAGATGGTCAAATGTGGAGGAATAGAAATCAGCGGAATTGCATCAACATCTATATTAAGAAAGCTTCCTGCGACACCCGTTCTCGAAAAATACGTATTCGTTCAAAATGAAATTGAAACGAATCTGACTGAATCGGTTATAATTATTGTTCAAATCATATTAGAAAATAATTTAGATAGTTACCTTGACGCAGTTGAAGTTGTCGACGAATATTCCAGTCCAAAGTCTGAATTTGTTTTATCTTTGGTTAGCAAAATTTTACGCGATATTTCAGCAGTTAATTCTCATCTCAGTATCTGCTCCAAAACTAACATCGAACCCCCAGATGGTGTAAATGTACAGACGTCGTTACAGACTTCCGGTGATTTGCTTTTGGTCGTAGCCACGAAAGTACTGCAAAGGCCAAAAACACTGGAAAAATTTTTAACTGCAATCAAACCAGGTGGATATATTTTGTCGAGAGAGGAAGCCGACTATGTTCCGAGAAATCCAGATGTATTGGTAATTCATAGAACTGGTGAAGAGTGTTTGGTGCTTTTCCAAAACTGTAAACCAGAGAAGCCTACAAAGTATATACAAATAACGTGGAAACATTACGAGTGGATGACGCCACTAAAAGAGGCGTTAAAACAAGGTGAAAATATCGTTGTGTACAGTCAAAACGACGACAGTGAAGGTATCACCGGTCTGGTAAATTGTCTAAGGAAAGAATCTGAGGAAAACAAAATCAGATGCTTTTTTATAATGGACAAAGATGTACAATTTAATCCAGAATTAGCGTTTTATAAACAACAACTTCGAAAAAATCTTGCCGTCAATATTCTTAAGAACGGAAAGTGGGGAACTTACAGGCATCTTCCTTTAGATGAGGTTGAGGAAGTGGAGAGTGAACATTCTTTTGTGACAGTTGGAATCAAGGGACACCTGAATACCCTGAAATGGGTAGAAGGACCTTTGACCAGAGAAACGAAAGTGAAAGACGGCGATATTACAATTTATGTAAGTAAACAGTAATTTTAAAACTTTTGATATATTCTTCGTTTTACATAACACAAACATTTAGAAAATCATCAGTTCCGAATTTCTAGGCCTGATTTAAATTTTCAGCGTTCTTTTTTACGCAGAACACACAGATTGTTGTTTCTTTTTTCATTATACTTATTTATTTACGGCTGGAATTCTGTTTACAAAAAGAAATTGTCATCTGTGAATAATCCGTCCATTATCATTTGTAACACGGCTGTTCCTAAAAGAAACCTTCCACATTTTGCAGCCTTACTACACAGCTATCAATTTCAAAGATGTATTAACTACCACAGGTCGAGTTAACTTCGATGGATATACTAGAAATAGATTGGTATCTACATCTATACAAGGCGCCGAAATAAGTGGAAGAGATATTTGGTAATTTTATTAACGTCTTACCAGTTCCTGGTTTAATATAGCTCTCTGATGTACAGCGGTCGCCGAATAACAGGATTTATAACCAACCATGGCATATCCAGCATTATTCAGACTGAAAACACATGTATGTATCTTCCTGACGATTGGACTTTGGAACAAGCAGCAACAGCACCCCTTGTATATGCAACTGTTATGTACGCTCTATTCAATGTAAGTTCTGTAATAATAGAAATCCAGTGAGTATTCTTAACGTTTTGTTGTTTAAGGTCGCCAAATTAAAATCCCATGCATCCATTTTAATACACTCTGCAACTAGCTGCGTGGGAATGGCTGCTCTTAATGTTTGTCTGTATTTTAATTGTGACATATATGTTACAGTTGGTACTGAAGAAAAGAAAAATTATATAAAGAAACATTTCCCACAAATTTCCGGTAAATTAAGTGTAGTTCCTTGCATTAATAACAAAGCGTATTATTCTAGACAGTCGTATCGGACATTCAAGAGACACTTCATTCGAAACTATGATCAAAAGAGAAACTAAAGGTCGAGGTGTAGATTTTGTTCTATGTGCTTTAATCGACGATAAACGCGAAGCTTCTGCACGTTGTTTGACTCAAGGAGGGGCCCTTTTAGACATCGGTGCTTATGATATGGTAAGGAACAGCGCTTTCAATACTATATTAATGGAAAACAAAATCTCTTATCATGGAGTGCTACTGGACCAAATCTCCTACGAAATAAGAGTTAATCTTTTAAATCAACTTAAGGAAGGAATAAGGTTAGGATATATTAAACCATTACCAACTATAGTTTTCGAGAAAAACGAAGTCGACAACGCCTTTATGCACATGATGACGGGAAAACATATAGGAAAGGTTTTAATCAAAATTAGAGACGAAGAGAAGCAGAAAATACTACCTCTGGAGAAAAATGTACACAAAACACTTCCCACGTAAGCTAAGACGTATACAACCAACTACAATTACGGAAATATTCTTTCAGATTTCTCGCGTGTCCAGAAAAATCTTATATAATTGTTGGCGGATTAGGAGGTTTTGGCTTAGAATTGGCCGATTGGTTGTTTTTAAAAGGCGCAAGAAAATTCATATTGTCATCTTCCTCAGGTTTAACAACTGGATATCAGGCTTATCGAATTCGGTAAGGAAATTTATTACACACAAAAAATTTCTTTAAAATCGCAAAATCTACAGGAATTGGAGATCATATGGTGCTACTGTTCAGGTGTTTAGTCAAGATATAACTATCAAACAAAATTGTTTAGAATTAATTCGACAAGCCAAGAACTTAGGACCTATCGACGCTGTTTTCAATCTGGCTGTTGTACTAAAAGATGCGCTTTTCTCTGATCAGACGGAAACGACTTTTGACACTGTTTTAAAACCCAAGGTTTTAATTACCCGGCAACTGGACGAAATTACGAGGGACGAATGCCCGGAACTTAGGTAGTACCTTTTTTACACAGTAGAAAATTTCTATGAATGATGATACAACACACCAGTGTCAGTTTTGTTGATTTTTTCTCAAGGAACACTGTCATGCAGACATTTATAAAATCATTCTTTCCGCAGATACTTTGTCGTGTTTTCATCTCAAGCAGGTGCTCGCGGCAATCCTGGACAAACCAATTACGGAATGGCAAACTCCAGTATAGAACGAATTTGTGAAAAACGAAAGTTGGAAGGATATCCAGGGTTAGCTATTCAGTGGGGGATGATCGGAGATGTATGTATTTTTGAGTGTGGAAAATTTACAAAATAAATATATTTCAAGGTGGGTATAGTTGCAAATATGCAAAAAGGAAATACAGAGATATCTATCGGAGGAACGCAACAACAAAAAATATCAAATTGTCTAGAAGTTCTTGATAGATTTCTGCAACAAAAGAGTCCTATAGTTTCCAGTTTTGTAATTTCGACAAGAAGAAAGAAAGTGTCAAGTTTGGACGGTATGACCAACATGATCGCTGATGTACTTGGAATCAAAAACATAAAGACTATAGACCCTAACAGATTATTAACAGAAATAGGAATGGATTCAATGACGGCAGCTGAAATCGCACAAATTTTAAAATCAGATCTTGGAGTTAATTTAACACCTGATGAGCTTCGTAATTTAACCCTCAAAAAGTAAAACCCCCAAAAAAAATGAATTCAGCTAACTTTTTTCTTTGTAGAGTAATGGAAATGGAGTTTGGTCAGAAAAACGTGAAATCCCGAAACGTAGACATAAATAGTCTTACCAGTATGATTAAGGGTAAAAGTACTAACACTCCGCTTATATTGTCTTTACCTGAACGAAGTACTGTGATGACAAAAATTCTACCCAGTAAGATCAAGGGCGATATTAACAAGAAAACGGTTTTCATTTTACCAAGTTTTGACGGATGTCTTCAAGCTTTCGAACCGTTGGCCAGTAGATTACCAGCGCGTGTGAGAGGCGTTCTTTACAACTTCAATAAGTGCGAAAATAGAATAAATGATACTGCTAAAACCATTTTACCTGTAAGCAAACAATATCAATTGTAGCGTGTACTGCAAAAATAATTTTTCCGATAATTCTAGCACATCGAGGCACACATTTCAAAGAATGAGCCGTTTGTTATCGTCGGTCACTTATATGGTTCCATCGTTGGTCTGGAAATTGTAGCTTTGTTAGAAAAAAAAGGATATCTAGGAAATTTTATATCAATCGAAGGATCTCCAGAGTACATGCAGACCTGGCTGGAAACAAATTCTTTCCTCAGCGATCAAAACAAATTACAATTATTCATCATTTTTAATTTCTTAACAATACTGACAAATAATGATGCTACAACTTACAAGGTAAGTTTGTTTGGCAAATAGTTAAGCTACAAACATTTTTATTTTCCATTTTGCAGGACAAAATTGCGCTCGACCTATCATTTAATGAAAAACTTGAAACAGCAGCAAATTTTTTGCCAGCAGACATAGACAAGCAATATTTTAAGGACAGTGTTCACGTTATTTACAAACGATGCAGCGCTTTGATTGACTACAGATTTACTCACAACAAACTCAAATCGAACGTGTACTTATGTAAAGCTAAACGACCTCTGGTCACTGATTTAAAAGACGATTACTCTTTGTCACAATTATGCAGAGGTTTCGTACAAGCTGGCACCGTCGAAGAAGATTACTTGAAGATTATTTCCAATGAAAAATGTTTCGACTATTTAGAAAAATGGTTGCACTGATCTTGAGGACTTAACTGTAGAGACAACATCAAACATGGGTATTTCAAAGTACGAGAAGAAATTTCTAGATAACAAGTAAAATCTGAACAAAATCTGTATATTTTTAAGTCATTAATTAAATTGATTTGGTTAGGTAGATAGTGGATTTTGTATTAGTTGATGTAACAATAAATTGTGTCTACAAATCTCAGTTAAAATTAATTCAGAACACAACCCTAAACTTTTGCAATTTAACTACATAGTTATTCATTGACTAAATAATGATGGTACCTGGGATTACGGTCGCCTATGTGAAGATAGACCACTTCTTAGTGATTAAGAGCAACAACTATCAACTGATCGTTAATATGTCACCCTTCTTGTCTATTCTTGATGTTTTGAGTTGTCAAGCTTGATGTCGTCGGCAAACATCATACACCAGGATTTTAATCTTTGGACAATATCTGCATTAAACATTAGCAACAGATGGCCTAACTTGTCACACTTTTCTTACATTAATTATGGAGTTCTCCAAGGCTCCATTCTTGGGTCAATTTTATTTTTCTTATTTAAACACGAGCTTCCAAAATATTATTATTATTATTCAAGTCGGAACTGAGGTTATACAACCTATTAAGCTCCACACTTTTCCGATGTCTCAAAAAGAATAAAATAGAAAAAAACTTTAAATTTGTTTCACAATTTCTTCTTTTCTTTAGACCTTTTTAAAAAATGATTAGCAATCCAGGGTTTTTTACGTTATATTTGGTACGACAGACAACAGTATTCATCTTAGTCAATTCTTCAAGTCTGACTGAGAAAATAGAAACGGCTTCGTCACAAAAAACATTATTGTAAACCTTTTCCCAATTAGTGGATATAAGATCCAATTGCAGTCTAGTAAAGTCGGTTTTTAATCGAGTTCTTATCTCATGCTCCCTAAGACTGAGAAGGTGATATTGGATGGCTGTCTCGATTATACAATTGTCAGATATTCCTATTGGTGGAGCAGAAATTAGTGTTGTCAACAGATTTGGGTGATTAGTTAGAATTAGGTCAACTGACCATGGATTTTGATTTACCCTAAAGCGCATAGGGAAGGACACAAGTTGCTTTAAGTCACCCTCAGTAATTGAAATATTTTGCCAAGAAATATTAGGAAAATTGAAGTCGCCGCATATAACTAAGTGTGCGCATTGGTTGGAAAAAGCCTTTATTTCTTCGACGAGTTGTAAGTCATCCGTCAGCACGCTCGTTGGAGGGCAATATGTACACACCAAAGTGAAACAAAAAGAGGAAAAACGACAGTCAGTCCTAACGAATTCAATATACCCAAACTTTTTGCTGGTCATCAGAAGCAAATACAGATTTATTACCTTTACACGGGGGGATAAACCTGTTATCTTACGGATGACGTAAGCTTCACGCCAAATCTTTAAACTGACTATTCTGGTCATTAGGCCAGCAGCCAATAAGCATACCACCATGACTCAAATTTTTAACTTTGAAAAGCTGTACTCCAATATCTGATTGATTTATATTGCTGGCAATATCTTTCTTGGTCTGCTGTAATAATGAGTTCCGACTTAAGTGCGCAAAAAGTTTCTTTTAAACTGGAAACCATGTGATCACTTTATTGTACGACGTTTATCCGATCATTGATAAAAAAAAACATTAAAAATAGGTGTAAGAAGGTACAGAGAAAAATTAAAAAAGCAATGGCAAAAGAGAAAAATTCGGACGATCTGGTTCCCGATTTGTCAGCTTTGCAAGACGAATCGGTTGGTATTGACAAATAACCGCCCTTGATAAATATCATCAAAGCTTTTTTCTTTTTTTCTTTTCGTCTTTTTCTCTTTTTCTTTTTCTCTACATGCCCAATTTTAATCCTCTCATGGATAATAAATCTTTGTCCGATTACTTTGTCAGCACTGTTGCCTACACTAATGTGGCATCTTTGATGGCAAAGTTTGACGATGTTTGTGCTTTTGCTGACACATATAAATCAACGATTAGCTGTTGAAACATGGTTGACTTCTTTTATAACTGATGCGTTAATATCTCTCGATGGCTATACCATTTTTAGATCAGATCGGGTTGGAAGGAGTGGCGGTGTTTGTGCCTACATTTCTGATCGAGAATTTCATGATTACGCCCCTTGCTGGTAACACTGGTGGTATTGATTCTCTCTTCTTAAAAGTGACTAACAGCAGCATAACTTTTGCTCTAGGATGTGTGTATAGACCATCGTCATCTCTTTTCAACGACGATATAACTCTTTTCAACCAGATTAGCAATATATCGAATTCAGATGACAAAGTGTATATTTTCGGAGATGTAAACCTCCCAGATGTGGATTGGCCCATTAGTGGCAATCGTTCCTCTTCTCCTTCCTCTCAACTTTTGGTGGATTTGCTGCTTAATAGTCATCTTGATCAATTGATCACGCAGCCAACAAGGTTCAGGTCGAACCAAAAACCATCTGTGCTAGATTTAGTTATAACGTCTGATGACAGTTCAATCTCGAACTTGGAATATTTGAATCAAATTGGTAAATCGGATCATTTAGTTCTTTATCAAAACCATGGATTAACTGGAGAATTTTAACCCTAGTACGCAAAAATAGAACACTGTGGCGAGCTTTTAAACGAACAGGGACCGAAACCAGTTACAATGGTTACAGGGCTTTTTCTAACCATCTTTCGACTGTCATCAGAGAGGCTAGACTTGATTATGAGAAGCGTATTGCAGAGAATGACACCAAAACTCTTTTTAAGTATATTCGCACTACATTATCAGGTCCAGTTAAAACAGTTAAGGTTAAAGATGCAGCCGGCATGGTTAATGATAACAGTTACACCGCTGCTGATATATTTGGCGATTCCTTTGCCAAAGCGTTTACTGTGGAACCTCTTTCTAGGATGCCTAATTTATCTAGCGTTTGTAATTCGAATAGTATCACTGATATAAAATTCTCTGCGGACGCGGTGTCAGATTAGCTCAGAAAGTTGAAAGTTACTAAAATCTCCAGGTCCTGATCTTATTTCCGCATGCGTTTTAAAGAACTGTGCAGCCTCTCTTTCCACTCCACTTTATATTCTAATGGCGCAATCATTCATGCAATCTAGACTTCCCTCCGACTGGAAAACGGCGTACGTCAAACCAATTTACAAGAACAAGGGTGATAAGTTTGATCCATCAAACTATAGGCGAGTGAGTTTGACATCGCTCGTGGTCAAGGTCATGGAAGCCATTATCTATGATCACCTAGTCAAGTTTCTTATAAATTATAATCTAATTTCACCTGAACAGCAAGGCTTCTTACGTGAGAAATCTGTCCAATCTAATCTTTTGTGCTGTTTGTCCAGCGAGTTGCGAGCAAAGCAAATAAAATGCTCTTTCTTCTGAGCAAAACATTTTCCAAAACTAGTCTATTAGTCTTTTCTAAACTTTTCAAAACATATGTGCGGTCTTTGCTAGAGTTTGCTAATGGTGTCTGGTCCCCCATACTTCAAAAAGACATTTTGTGCTTGGAATCCATTCAGCGTCGAGCAACCAGATTTCCGTTCGGCAAAAATCGGCCTCCTTACTGCGAACGGCTTAGACTAATGCATCTCTGCCCTCTTTCAGACAGGCGCAAACGAGGGGATCTAATCATTACTTATCAGGCTTTGAGTAATAGTGTTTCCCCAATGAGGCATCCCTTCCCTCTCAATACCTCAGATCGCACCAGAGGGCATCCTCTAAAGTTGCGTAAGTTGAAGTTTTGGACTTCAGCTCGCCATAAATTTTTAACGAGTAGGGTGTTTGACAGTTAAAACGCGTTACCCAAGGATATAGTGCCAGCTTCATCTATTGTGAGTTTTAAATCGAAATATGATACATATTGTGCGACAAAAAATCTTTAAGTTATACTGGAGATAAAGCCACTACTCAGTTTGTCGCGGGCATAACAGGCGTAGCCTCTGCCCGATCGATTCCTTAATAATAATAATAATTTCCACGAGAATTTTGGAACTAAAGCAAATTGATCCTGAAGAGAATCCGGAACTCCAATACATTTATAATGAAATTGCCTGTTACATGTACCAGCGCAAAAAACACTAATAGAACCAGATTTGGACGATCTAATTATTGGATCCAGGCATTTACTTACTGTAATTTGTGTGCATAATGATCAATCTGATCAAAGGCTTTACGGAAATCTGTGTAGATAACATCCACTTGGTTGTTTTGATCAATAGTCTCTGAAACACACTGAGTAAAACAAGACAGATTCGTAGCCATAGATCTTTTCTCCGCAAAGCCATACTGAAAGGGAGAGATTAAACTTTTAACCAAAAAAATATAGGCGTTTATAAAAAGCAGATTCAAACATTTTTGAAAAATTGCACAGAACACATATTGGTCGGTAGCTTCTTTCCAGATATCAGGAAAATGTGAAGTCTTGATGATAAGGTTAAACAGAGAATGGAGAGGTTTTACCCCTGCGATTATAGAATCTTTGTATCGTTTTAATGCTTCAAGTGTTTCGTCTACTGTTATGTTCTCAATTTTTATTACAGAGTTGCTCAAATCACTTTGGTTTATGACACAAGAATAAGAAGGATGAGAACTGACGTAAACGTTTTTAAAGAAAAAGGCAAAAGCATTAACAATTTCTGGAGGTGTCGGAAGTTGTTGATCAGAAAATTTCGTAACAGTTGGGATTCTAGACATACCTTTTTTAGTCTGAACGTAGGACCAAAACCTCTTTAATACAATATTATTATACAAAGTAGGAATTTTTTAACGCAGGCCACCTACATTCTGATAAAAAAAATTGAGTATGGGAATCATAATCAGGTGCAGTATTTACTTTAAATGACAAATTATGCGAGGAACACCATTGAAATGCCGAATCGTCAGTTCCGTTTCACCATTATTTTATGTTAACCTTTAAGTGTTATATACATATATTCCTTCCTTTGCGTGCTCAAACTTATATTCTTAGCACAAATAAATTCTCAGTATTTTATTCTATTCTATACCATACTTTGTTTTAGGTATCTGTCAAATATGCCAGCGCAATGAATAAAACTTGATCATAATTGACTACAGAATGTGGTGTAAAGGTCAAAGCAGTAATCGATTTTACGTAAGCCACATTATGTAGTGCGAAAGAAATGACAAATATGAAACTAAAGACGTAAAAGGCGTTTTTGTTGTTATGTAGATTTTTGTCATGGTGACCCTTTTGTTTAATTCAGGTTACCATTTACGTAAATTAGTACATACACATAAATCACCCTTGCATTATAGGCCAAAGTCCAAAATCTGAGTTTGATAAACTAATCTTTATTCATAACGAAAAACTGCGTTCTGTTTAATCAATATTGTCAGTTTCCTGCATCTCGAGATATCTGTGATTCAAACAAAATGAGAAAAAAATTGTAGTGGGCATCAAAGTTGTAAACGAAGGGCTACTTTCATGCTTTCTCGACGTTTGCTAACCCCAAGAATATGAAAAAATAGGTCTTCCGTTTCCATCTATCAAAATTTATGTAATCATTAATAATATGATAACGTCACCTCAAAATTTTGCAAAGTAAATACTATTTTAATTTATCAAATAACAGGCAGTTTATGAATCCACTCGGATTTTTTACCAAGTAAATTCGCCGTATTTTAAACTCTGGGTTTTATTGTTTTTGAACGATTCACCCATTTTTCCGAAAAATTGAGAATATAGTACTGTGTTGCTACACTGTCCTTTTGTTTACTTTACTTTAGGAGATAGTAAGATTTCAAAGCGTAACCTCAAGAGTCAGAGTGTGAGAGTGCATCATCATGCGTCAATGAAAATTATAATATTTATCCGAAAACAATTTTTGATAGTTTGTATACAACACATTTGTCAGCCAGCTAATTTGAATCTAATTTTTTTATGCACGTACGTAGCTTTACCGAACACAATCAATAAATTAACAACTTTGTTTCACATTTGATATACTTATAAACAAATTCTTTTGACTATCACTTGATTGTTAAACATGACAAAGAGGTCACAAAGTGATTATTTTTACGGAAGATGGTTATTGCACCCTCCACCGGGCGAAGAAGTCGTAGTATCTGGTAAGTTCCTATTTAAAACGGCATTATCAAACTGTAATCTGTCTTTTAGGAATTGCTGGTGATTTTCCTGAATCCGAGAATGTTAACGTATTTCGTGAGAACCTCTTTAATAAGATCGATATGGTAACAGTGGATGATAGGAGGTGGCGTCTTGATTATCCTCAAACACCGAAAAGATTTGGCAAGATAAAGGAAATAGAAAGTTTCGATGCTGGTTTCTTTGGGGTGCATCAACCACAACAGTTTGGTGTCACCGGAAACATGAGGAATATTGTTGCACACAGGATAAGTTATTTCCTAAAAGTTAAAGGACCTTCTATGGTGGTCGACACAGCTTGCAGTACGTCAATTCCTGCTATTGAGGCAGCTTTTCAAGCCATCAGAAATGGACATTGTGACAATGCCATTATATGTGGTGGTAACTTGTTTGCTTTTCCCAAAGTAATGGCAGCATTTGCGATGTTAGTATCCATTTGTTCTTTTTTTTTTTTAGTGTCACAAATAATATTTTTTGCAGGTTAGGTGTCTTAAGTCCTGACGGGAAATGCAAAACTTTCGACAAGGATGCAAATGGTTAACTGCGATCCGAATCTATTGTATGTGTTTTTCTACAGAAGGCGCAAGCTGCTAAAAGAATTTACGGAAAGGTATTTAATCTATCAAAATTTTCAAAATCAACAAACTATTATTAATTTGTTCGAAGGTGATCCATGTGAAACAAAATTCGGATGGCTTCAAGGTGCAAAATATCTATTACCCATCAACTAAAATGCAAGAAAAATCGGTAACTGAGACACTGTTTGATTCGGGACTGGATCCAAATGATGCGGCCTATGTGGAAGCCCACGGAACTGGAACATAAGTTGGCGACCCAGCAGAAACTCAAGCCATTGATAACGCCATAGCGAAGAAGCGTTCGAATCCCCTGGTTGTCAGATCCGTCAAAAGCAACATCGGTCATGCTGAAGTCATATCGGGACTGTGTTCTCTCAGTAAAGTAATAATCATGATGGAAACGAGATTAATAATAATTCCGAATGATAATTTCAAAGAGTACAATCCGAGTTTGAAAGGATTTGTAGAGGGACGAATGAAAGTAGTAACAGATTTAACACCAATCGAAACCGGTAATGATGTTTTTGTAATAAATAATTACGGTTTTGGAGGTAGCAATGCCCATATGTTACTAAGACGTCTAGATAAAATCAAAAGTGTAGGAGATTTACACGAAGATCTACCACGATTAGTCTGTGTTAGTGGACGAAGTGAAAGTTCTGTTTCTAACTTATTAGATGAATTGGATCGTAAACAGCTTGATCCAGAATACGTAGGTTTGCTTCATCATCTTTTCAAAAATAATGTTCCTGGTCATTTGTGTCGAGGCTTCGCAATCGTTTTGAAAAATTCTTCAACTATCAGATCTACTAATACTTTGTCACAACAAACGAGCGACTTGTATGTAATTTTCGGGCGCTTTTTTAACAATTTTGCAGCTGTAGGGAGATACCTGCTTCAGTTTCCTGTATTTGAAGACATTATTGAAAAGTAAGTGGTCATTGTAATGAATGTCAAGTCTTTATGTTAGATAATGTTAGAATCGACAACTGCAACAGTAATAGGAACGAGATTAGGAACGTGTGTGTGAAAGCAACGACAAATTTAGGCGAAGCTGTGATTCAGCTAGGAATTGTAGAACTGTTGAAATTCTTGGAAATTCAACCATCAATTATATATGAAGACCATTGGGGAAAAATTATTGCTATGTATTACCAGGGGAAACTTGGTTTGGCCGAAACGCTCTCGAAGTTAGAGGTACTAGACAAAAAATGCACAACTAATGGAATAGGTAGCTATTTTTAACAACTAACTTTTAGTTTATATTTTAAATAAATATTACAGAAAACGAAGATAATAATAACTATGAGAACAAAGTCAATATTTACAATAGAACGTTAAACAAACATAAAAATTTTATTCTGCTAAATATATCAGACAAAACTATACTTGAGAATAACAGCTGTACCCTGACCGAAACCAACTTTCTACAGATCCTAGGAAGTTAACTGTATATAAATAACGAAATTTCAATTAGGTTACCCAAATTTTATAACCATAGGTTATACAACCTAGGCCACAACCCACAAATTCATAAACTTTATCCGAAGATAGAATTCCCAGTTAGTCGAGGTACACCTATGCTATCCCCAATACTTAAATGGAACCACAAGAAGAAATGGAACACATTCAGTTTTCATGAATTTGAAAAGGTACACAGTACGCCAGAAAGAATTTGGCCTTTGTCAACTGAGATTTACCGAGATCAGAAATACCTAGAAGATCACGTCGCTGACGGTAAATGAGTAATAATTATTTCAAAAAATTTGCCCGAAATAATAATTTCAGGACGAAGCTTGGTCCCAGCGACAGATTATTTAAATTTAGTTTGGAAAGTGTTTGCTCTACAGCACTGCATCAATCAAGAAAGACTACCTGTGGTTTTCGAAAACTGCAAATTTCTGAAAGCTCAACCTATAGGAGGCAACATTCATCTTTCGCTAGACATATCTATTCACATTCATTCTGGTAAATTTGAAATTTTTGAGACAGAATCCAGTAGCCTCGTCATGACGGGAAAGATTTTTATACCCGTGGACATCGAAAAGTATAAAACTGATTTACCTCTACCTCCAATAAATGAAGAAAGAGGAGCAGCAGAATTGTTAGAATCGAATGAAATTTATCGAGAACTGAATCTTCGGAGATATAATTACAGGTGATTTTAGTGATAGGAGTAACACATTGTAACTAAAATTATATTCTAGAAACACGTTTCGGGGTCGTGTTAAATGTAATGTGGAGGGAACCTACGGATTAGTAAAATGGGAAAATAACTGGACCACCTTTATCGACAGCGTTCTTCAACTGAAAATTTTTGAAATAGATGCAAGAACACTGTTTGTTCCTGTGAGTTTTAACAGAGTGATAATTGATCCAATAGCTCACATGGAATTTATCAAAGGAACAAAGAAATTTTTGTGTCCCGTTGATTCTTATAAAGACTGCCAGATGGTCAAATGTGGAGGAATAGTAATCAGCGGAATTGCATCAACATTTATATTAAGAAAGCTTCCTCCGACACCCCTTCTCGAAAAATACGTATTCGTTCAAAACGAATTTGAGACGAATCTGGCTGAATCGATTAGAATTATTGTTCAAATCATATTAGAAAATAACCTAGATAATTACTTTGACGCACTTGAAGTTGTCGACGAATATTCCAGTCCAAAGTCTGAATTTGTTGTATCTTTGGTTAGCAAAATTTTAAGCGATATTATAGCCGTTAATTCTCGTCTCAGTATTTGTTCTAAAACGAACATCGAACCACCAGATGGTGTAAATGTACAGACGTCGTTACAGACTTCCGGTGATGTGTTTTTGGTCGTAGCCACAAAAGTAATGCAAAGACCAAAAGCACTAGAAAAATTTGTAACTGCAATCAAACCAGGTGAATATATTTTGTCAAGAGAAGAAGCCGACTATGTTCCAAGAAATGCAGATGTTTTGGTAGTTCATAGAACTGGTCAGGAATGTTTGGTACTTTTCCAAAACTGCAAACAAGAGGAGCCTACAAAGTATATACAAATAACGTGGAAAAATTACGATTGGATGAAGCCGCTAAAAGAGGCCTTAAAACAAGGTGAAAATATTGTTGTGTACAGTCAAAACGACGACAGTGAAGGTATCACCGGTCTGGTAAATTGTCTAAGGAAAGAATCTGAGGAAAATAAAATCAGATTTTCAGAAATTTTATAATGGACAAAGATGTACAATTTGATCCAGAATTAGCGTTTTATAAACAACAACTTCGAAAAAATCTTGCCGTCAATATTCTTAAAAACGGAAAGTGGGGAACTTACAGGCATCTTCCTTTGGATGACGTTGAGGAAGTGGAGAGTCAACATACTTTTGTTACGCTTGGACTCAAAGGACAGCTGAATACTCTGAAATGGATAGAGGGACCATTGACCAGACAAACCAAAGTGAAAGACGGCGATATTTTAATTTATGTAAGTAATCCCATCTACCTTTCGGTCTAGGGTTACAAACTAAATAAATACATTATAATTAAATTAATATTATTAGGTATTCCACTATTCACCGTGCACAAATTTAGACCTCTCTTTCTTATTTCTTGACATTTCTTTCGCTTGCATCCATGTTTACCCACTCTTGTGTAGACTTTTTTGTATTGTGTTTTTCCTTTCCTTAGTGTCTTTAGTACTTGATAGAAAAGTTTCGGGTTTGTTTTGCTGTTAGTTTTGTTGCCGGAGAGCGTGACCGAGGCCTGATTTCACAATTAATTAAGTTACTTTAGGACCTTATTTAAGTTTTAGGATAATTAATAAAGTAGTTTAGCGTAGAATAGGTTCGCGTGCTGCGGCGGCTGTTTCCAGTCTGGCCGCCCCGCCGACGGTGGTTATATTTAATACCTCGGTCGGGGCCCCGCCTACTGGTGCAGAATTGCGCGCGTGTGCCGTCAGCTCGCGAAAAAATAGGTTAATTAGGGTAAGGTAATTAGTTTGTAATATATTTAGTGCGGAGAATTAGTTTAGTATCAATAGGCGATAAGCAAAGAATAATTATGCCCCGTTTTCTGCGACGGCTGGCGACAGCCAATCCACTGCCCAGACGGTGTCCAGAAAACGGTGAAAAAATATAAAAGGCTGTTAAAAATCCCGCTCGGCATCACTTGTCAGCAGTTTCGATCTGCGCATCGTCCTGGAAGGATGTCTTCCGGAACACGCCGTCTTAGAAGCAATTCAACTGCGACCAGGGCCCCGCCGACGAAGCCTCTCGCCACGTCAGGCCGAGCTCCATCAACGCGACCAGCTCCAGCTCCAGCAGCAGCAGCTCCACCAACGTCCCAGACAACGTCGTCACCGACGAACACCATGGGTGAGTCTAACCCCACTTTTTCACACGTTTTGCATGGCACCCACCATCAAACCAAACCCCAAAAATCGCCACCCCCGTCCCCAGTTCCCTCCAGCTCGGGCCGATCGACCTCGGTCGCCTCCGAGACAACATTGCATTCCTTAAATTCCTCCACGGTTTCTCAACCCCCCGAAGTACTTTACAAGTACACAATTCAAAACATCCCCCAAAAATTCGCCACCCAGAAACAGCTCTACGCTGTCCTCATAACCCACCTTGCCCTGAAGGATGTCGAAACCCTGAAGGTCAACTTCAACAAATCTGCCCTTTTGATAACCCGGTCTGAATTACCGGCCAATTTCGAAGCCCGTCTCCGAGTGGCTTGCTTGGACAACAAAGTCACAATCAACATCATCAATCGTCCAAAAAAATCTCTAGCCCCAGCCAAAAAGGCACCTTTCTTCTCAATCGTCATCAGAGACGTCGACCTAGACATCGAGGAACGTGACATCCTCGAAATTGCCCCCCATCTCAAAATCCATAAAATGTGGAGAATCGTCTCCAAAAAGACGAACAAACCCACCCCCCTCATCCGGGTCATCTCCGCCGATGTGTCCACCATCGACGGCCTCCTCACCGACGGCATAGTCCTCTTCGGCCGACTCCACAGGTGCGAACCTTCTAACGCACCCCCACCAACTCCCGTTCAATGTTCAAAATGTTTCACGCTGGGACACCAAGCTTCCGGGTGCTCCCAGAAACCCATCTGCCCCCGCTGCACCGAGACCCACGCCCCCAACAAGTGCCCCAAGGAAGTTCCAGAATGCCCGTTCTGCAAAGGTCCCCATCCTGCATGGTCCAAGAAATGCCCCGAATTCATCAAATTAACGGTCACAGATGAGACCCAAACCCTTCCCACGATCATCATTGACCCACCAACAGAATTCGCCGACCCCGTCGACCTAACCGACGAAACCCCACAGGAAGTCAACCTGTCACAAATCCATGCGAAAGCTCTCATCGCTTTCGTCACAAAAACTCTTTTCGACATCCTCCCTCTCAACATTCCCAAAACCCAACAAGCCATTCAGGAGGCTTCCCTAGCCGTCTTCAACCTGAAAACCCGAATAAATCATTCGGGCAGGCTCATCCATTTCACATTTGATGCTTAATGGGTAGCACAACCAACGTGCATGTTTTCCCCACCCCGCCGCACGCTGGGCCTCCTGCCCAACGTGCGGCACCCACACCCCAATTCCTCAGCCCCACAACCCCCCTCACGCCGCCGCCAATCTACATTTCATAAATATAGCCACTGCCAATATCGATAACGCAAGACATAAAATGCATGCCCTCAAAAACTTCATAGAAACCGACAACATTCAAGTCCTCGGCCTAACCGAAACCAAAACCAAACGCGAAATCAAAATCGCACGCTTCACCACTTATCACAGACCCTCAATCATGAATAACGCACGAGGCACAGCTCTAATAATCTCAAACAAAATTCCATCCACCCGGCATGATCTCCCACCAAATCTTGCAAACCTCGAAGCTATTGCCGTAAATATTCTAATCGCCAATATCTCTCTCACAATAATATGCTATTACAATCCGCCCCAAGAAGCCCTCTCATCTCTCCTCATCGAATATGCTTCACAACTCCCTAATGCCATTTTAATGGGCGACTTCAACTCCAGGCATATCGACTTCGGCGACACCACCACGAATTCAAACGGCCGAAAGCTAGTTAACTGTCTAACAAACTTCCCCATCTATCGCCTTGAAAACAGGCACCCCACCTTCATCAGCCACAAAGGTCAATCGATAATCGACCACATAATTATCACTGAAACACTAACCCCCAAATTTAACCTACAATGCCAGATTGGAACAACGGTCACCTCCCCACACCTACCATTAACAGCCCAACTCCTACTTCCCGCCCCACAGCCACCAGCAACCTACACAATCATAGACGACATCAAACACGCCGACTGGGCAAAATACAAACAATACATATCAGACAACCTGCCACCGATCAACATAACTCGCGAAACACACGAAATAGACCGACAGATCACACTATTCACAGACACCATCACAACCGCCAAAGAACTCACTATCCCGCGTAAACACATCCCGAAAAACAAACGGCCACTGCCTGCGCGAATCCTAAATCTAATAAAACAAAAACGTCAGATCTACCGCGAAATCACACGAACACGTAACCCACAACTTAAAACACACTTTAACCGCCTAAATGCCCAAATCAGACGCGATATAAATCAATTCCGGGAAGAACAGTGGTCGAACACCTGCGCAAAACTAGATTACCGAAACGGAAAACAATATTGGGACAAATTTAAACTACTCACCGGACAAAAAACACAAACCACCACCCACTTAATACAAAACAACACCTTCCTATCCTCCCCTGAAGACAAGAGCAATGCATTCGCTCAAACTCTCCAAGAAATACATGAAATCTCAAGAGACCCCAACTTCAACCACGATTTTTTCAACCTAGTGTCCGAAGAAGTGCAAGACTTCCGTGACCAACCCTTCCATCCCTTAGCCCTCCTCAACATGCACGTACCCGACAACGACGAAGACTTAACCGACAACATCTCCCTCCAAGAAGTCGAATCCCGCATCAAACACCTCAAAAATTCCAAAGCCCCAGGGCCAGACCAAATCAAGGCGATACTTCTAAAAAACCTTCCGCCAACAACCCTCCAAGCTCTGACCAACATCTACAATTCTCTCATACTTCCCGACTTCATGGAAACAAGCCTCCACAATCATGATCCCCAAACCCGGAAAAGACCCCCACAGCCCACTCTCTTATCGCCCAATCTCCTTACTAAATATCTCGGGCAAAATCTTTGAAAAAATCCTCACCAACCGTCTAACAGACTTCCTAGAAACAAACAACATTATACCCCAGCAACAATTCGGATTTCGCTCGCAACGCTCCACATTGAACCCCATTCTAGAGCTCCACACCGATTCTACCCGATTCGCCAACCTCAAAGAGTGCACAATCGCCGTCTTTCTGGACATAGAACGTGCATTCGATAAGGTCTGGCATGATGGTTTAATCTATAAACTCATCAAACTCCAAATGAATCCAAAATTCATCATTCTTCTAGACTCGTTCCTTCACAACCGATCCTGCAGAGTCAAAGTACAAAACTCCCACTCACAACCTGTCAACATTCGAGCCGGGGTCCCCCAAGGCTCCGCGCTCTCACCTATTCTGTACTCCATTTACTGCAGTGACTTTCCAATTACAGATACGCCCAGAACGAAGACGAGGATGTTCGCCGACGACACCGCGTTCTGGACGTCCCACCGAGACCCCGAACGAGCCACCTCCACCATCCAGGAAGCACTCCGGCGATACGAAACGTGGGCCAACAACTGGCGAGTCAAACCCAACCCCCTTAAATCCCAATCCATCTGCATGACATATCCCGGCGCCACCTCGAAACGTCACAAATTTACACAATCGCGACTAACACTGCATGCCGAACAAATCCCACAATGCAAGGCAGTTAGATACTTGGGCATAACCTTCTCCGACAACTGTTCCCTAATTCCCGACCTTGAAAATACCCTAAAAAAAATCCGCAACCGCTCCAACCTCCTCTACCTAATCAGCGGCCGCATCCGCGGCTGCAATCCCGAAACCATCAAACACACCTACAATTCCTACATACGCCCAATTATCGACTACCGAGCAACAATTTACGCGACCCTCCCAAATAGAGCCAAACACAGACTAACAACATGCGAACGCAAAATCCTACGACGGGCATACAGACTCCATCCCAGATATCCATCCATGCATGTTTACCAGCGCACAAACGCAATCCCCATTTCCGACCGCCTAAAAACACTACAACAAAATTACGTCAAACGCACACTTAATAGTAACAACACCATTGCCATTGAAAACCTACACACGTCTTATAAATATCCCACCGCGAACAATCGACTTTTACACCGCCTGCCGCGAGTCCCTAAAAACAAATTCAAACACGCTCCCACCGCCCTCCTGGAAACCCTCTACCCCGACCTCCCACAGGCTCTCCAGGACGCAGTTGACCACACACCGATTTCGCTG